ACTCCTGCCAACTAATATCAACACCTATAATTAGTTTAGGATAGAAAAACCTTGTGCCTTGAAATTCCGTTACCAAAAACCCACATATCTTTAAGATATTTAATAACTTCTCTCTCATGTGGAAGGGAGGATATTGAAAGTAAACCTATCAATTAGTCATAATGTTGTACTGATATCAGTTTTGTTTATTAATTCTTAAGTGATTAAAACTTGGCAACAGAATTTCAGAAAAATCGGTAACGGAATTTCTGCAATTGAATTGGCTACAATGGGAAATAATAGTAGTCATAAACCACAGTTGGGTCACCTGTACTGTCCTCCCGTCCACTGGCATACTGTTATGTTCAGTTCATAACTGTTTTCTTTCTCTTTCTGTCATCTGGTGGTGAAAGCAAGAATATGAAAAGTCTGGACAACTCCTCCATCTCTCTTTCTCTCTCTCTCTCTCTCTCTCTCTCTCTCTCTCTCTCTCTCTCTCTCTCTCTCTCTCTCTCTCTCTCTCTCTCTCTCTCTCTCTCTCTCTCTCTCTCTCTCTCTCTCTCTCTCTCTCTCTCTCTCTTCTCCCTCTCTCCAATTAATGTCACCTCTCCCGGCTCTTACTGACACCTACCCATGAGCCCCCTCTTTCCATTTACTGTTACCAGCATCCTCACCCACTAAGCGCCGACCGACACTGGACGTCCATGGACGTTGAAAAGTAGTTGACATTTGGTCAGTCCGCCCTGGCCTTGAGAATAAGAAGACCTACCTTCCAAAAATCTGTGATAATAGCAGCGTGATTTGATAAGCAATTGTCTACCATGGAATTCTGCTGAAGCAAATGGTTTTGTTTTATGGGGCAGTAATATTACTGCGTGTTCAGTTGTGTTCTACCTGCAGCAAGCAAGCCTGTACACATCTGTGTTGGTCTGCTGCCAGGGTTGTAAAACAGCTGTCTACTGTTTTATTTCCTCCTTTGGGGAAGCTAAATCATGGGCTCTCTTAGTCCTAGATCAGTATTGGCTACGACTGGTTAACTATTTCAGTACATGGGTACGTCCTAGATCAGTATTGGCTACGACTGGTTAACTATTTCAGTACATGGGTACGTCCTAGATCAGTATTGGCTACGACTGGTTAACTATTTCAGTACATGGGTACGTCCTAGATCAGTATTGGCTACGACTGGTTAACTATTTCAGTACATGGGTACGTCCTAGATCAGTATTGGCTACGACTGGTTAACTATTTCAGTACATGGGTACGTCCTAGATCAGTATTGGCTACGACTGGTTAACTATTTCAGTACATGGGTACGTCCTAGATCAGTATTGGCTACGACTGGTTAACTATTTCAGTACATGGGTACGTCCTAGATCAGTATTGGCTACGACTGGTTAACTATTTCAGTACATGGGTACGTCCTAGATCAGTATTGGCTACGACTGGTTAACTATTTCAGTACATGGGTACGCCCTAGATCAGTATTGGCTACGACTGGTTAACTATTTCAGTACATGGGTACGCCCTAGATCAGTATTGGCTACGACTGGTTAACTATTTCAGTACATGGGTACGTCCTAGATCAGTATTGGCTACGACTGGTTAACTATTTCAGTACATGGGTACGTCCTAGATCAGTATTGGCTACGACTGGTTAACTATTTCAGTACATGTGTACATCCTAGATCAGTATTGGCTACGACTGGTTAACTCTTTCAGTACATGGGTACGTCCTAGATCAGTATTGGCTACGACTGGTTAACTATTTCAGTACATGGGTACATCCTGGTCACCTTTATTGGAACGTAGCAACACACTCTTAGAAAACAAAGGACCTAAAATGGTTATTCGGCTGTCCCCATAGGAGAACCCTTTGAAGAGCCCTTTTGATTCCAGGTAGAACCATTTTTGGGTTCTACATGGAAACCAAAAGGGTTCTCCCGGAAACCAAAAAGAGTTCTACCTGGAACCAAAAAGTGTTCTCCTATGGTGACAATCGAAGAACCCTTTTGGAACCCTTTTTTCTAAGAGTGCAGTAGCTGTGTGCCAATATGTAGCTGTGTGTTACCCTCTGTGTGTTCTATATATAGCATGTATACCATACTGTTCCAGGATTCAATATTCCACCAGCACTCTGCACTATGAGACAACAGTCAATAATTCAGCTGAACCATAAAAGCTTAGCTTGCTATGGTTCGAAGGCAACAATGATTTTACACAGCTCTGCCTAGAAGCCCTCTGCCTGTCTGCAGTCTGCATGCATGTATCATGTTTAGAACTTGCCCCTATAACAGCTCTCCCCCAAGCTGGGGACTGCTTTACAGGCTGTCTCAGGACTGTCTTAGGGCAGGGCTGTCTCAGGACAGGGCTGTCTCAGGTAAGGCTGTCTCAGGACAGGGCTGTCTCAGGACAGGGCTGTCTCAGGGCTCTGCAGTGGAGAGAGGGCATAATGCCTGCGCAGTGATACTAAAGCAGGGGTATTAGACCAACTAGACTGCATGTGGGCTTATACTTTCTCTGTTTTCTGTTTGTTCATTATCATGTTCCTAATACACCTTTCTGTGACTCATTTATATGTCATATTGGAGAACAAATAGAACCAGAAAACTGATAATAGATTGCAGTGGTAGTAGATTTTTGAACGTTTTCCCCTCCCGATTTTGAACATGATCTGTGTGTCATCATGGCTATCCCAGTGGCTGATGGGAGAGGTGTTTTGTCAGTCCCCGTGGGATAGACCAGAGCCCTCCCCTCCCCCTCACAACCCTACACACACTCACTTGCACGCACACACACATGCACGCAGATGACCTTGCCTGTCCTCGGTGCAGTATGTGAGTGCCCTCCTCAGCAGGCTTGGTTGACCTCTGGGACAAAGCACTGCTGTTACCGTAGGAACCGCCTGGCTTCCTTTCTCCCTCTTCACCCTCTCTTTCTCTCTCTCTCTGTCTCCCTATGTTTATCTGTTTTTCTGTTACTGTCTCTCTTTGTCTCTCACTGCCTCGATGTCTCTCTCTGTCTCAATCTCTCCGCCCCTCTCTCTCAATGTATCTATCTGACTCTCTCTCTCATTCAGTTTATCTGACCAGCCCACCCTACCCCCTCACATCTGTCAGTCTAGGTTAAAGGGGCAATCTGCAATTCAAACAATAACAAAGTGACACCCCACCAGTGTTTTGGTTAAAAAAAGCTGAGGGATGGGCCTGTAGAAATGTAAGGACTGACCATCCAGGATATCAAAATAATATTTTTTTACCATGTTTTGAAGCTATACAGTGTTTGTTGACAATTACATTGTTTATGGAGTAAAACAGGCTCAAATGTTGGGTTCTGATGGGGTATGACAGTTGAACTAAGCTCATGAGGCATTTCTAAATTATATTCGTGGACTAGGGCATAGTGGAATAGGGCAGTCCCGGAGTGCATAGCTGCTGCTGCTGGTGGCGGTCATGTGGTCATTGAGTGTGTCAGTCATGTCTGTGTAGACTAAACATAAAGGATCAGCTGTGACCAGGGTCCCTGTCCCTGTGTGACAGGTGTCTGTTTACACAATGTCTCTAGTCAGTCAGTCAGCCTGCCAGCTTGCCAGTCTGTCTGTCTGTCAGTCAGCCATCCAGTCAGTCAGTGAGCAAGTCAGCCATTCAATCAGTCAGCCAGCCATCCAGTCAGTCTGTAAGTCAAACAGTTAGTCACTCAGTCAGTCAGTCAGCCAATCAGCCAGTCAGCCAATCAGTCAGTCAGCCAACCAGTCAGTCAGAACCAGCATTGGTAGTGTCACCTGCTATGTACTGTTACATCAACTATCAAACTTTGTTAGTTGTTTATTATCTACATTGGCACAGCAGTGTCTAGCTTAGGTACTGTAGTACTTCACTACCTGGCACTGTCCATTTCATGGGAAGGCCCAGTGCTGTAATGACATAGTAATGAGAGAAATGTATGTCCTGAAACAGGGTGTACTCTAAATGAAGACCTCTGGGAGCAGGAGGACTATGTTAATTAATGAGGCCAGCTCTATTTCTCCTGGGTTAACCAACACTGTTCATAATACCTGCTGCAGTGCCTACTTTGACCTGCAGCTATTATATACCCACCACAGTATGCTTCAATGAAATGCAATGCCTTTCAGTGTTGTCTTAGATCTACAGCTATACACTATGCTTCAATGAAATGCTATTTATTTATCTTATTGGTATGTCTGTGACATGGGAATACATTGAGAGGTGTGGGGCTGGAATTCTCTTTGAAGTTGCACGTACTGTTAGACACCATTGACCAGAGGCCAAAATGGACGTGAGTACTGCATGGAGTCTGTTAAGGTTAGACTTAGCCTCAATAGGGTCACGCCCTGGCAGGCAGCTTACTGCAGGCTGGTTTCAGATGGAATAGCTGCTAGCTCCTTGCTCCATGCCCCCTCCCCCCTTTTCACCAGGTCTGACCGGGGAGTTTTACTCCAGCTTGACCCAGTTTTGATGTGGATATGGGGTTGTTGAAAGATCTAAGGGCAATGTAAGGTTAGGATTAGCTGATCCTAGATCTGTGACTGAGGGTAACTTCTACTCTGAACTATTAGGTCTGATGCCTTCTCTCTGTATCACCCCTCCAGCCCCTCCCCTCATCCAGTCCAGCCCAGAGTCATACATTCTGCCCCCCTCTTCCCCTCCCTCTCCCCCATAACAGTGGGTATGAGGGATCAGGTTGCTGTCTCTAAAATTAGGAGTCCATTGAGGGATCAGACCTGACCAGGCTGTGTTGTGTCACTAGATATGTGTTGCAGAGCTGAAGGCTCCTCCTACTTTTATGGCCCACATATACATATACACCATCGTGCCAAATGTATTGTACATCAGTTGTACAAACTGCGTGTGTACAAGGCCTGTGATAGTATGTAGAACAGAGTGTGTTCCATCCTTGTCGTCAAGGATACACTTCATTAGGAACGCTTATTAGTGTTTAGACATTCCATTAACTAACCCTCTTTCTCACTCTCCCCTCCTGTCTCTCTCCAGTCTGATGAGTGATCCTCCCCCTGGTCCTGTCCTCCATTATGGTCGACATGGAGAGCCACTACCGGCCACCGTCCCCCCTGGAGGATTCGGTGCTGGGCAGCCCGCTGTGTGAGGACTTCATTGGGGGCATGGATGAACTGCAGGATATCCCCCAGTACATCGACGGTGACGCCCTCAGCTCCTTGGACGTCCCTGAGTACCAGTCCCAGTCGAGTAACGGCTCAGAAGGATCCACCGTTCTAGGTAAGATAGATATACACTCACCAGATAGTTTATTAGGTACACCCATCTAGTACCGGGTTGGACCCCCCTTTGCCTCCAGAACAGCTTGAATTATTTGGGGCATTCTTCAAGTTGTCGGAAACGTTCCACAAGGATGTTGGTCCATGCTGGCATCACCCAGTTGCTGCAGATTGGACGGTGGTACATTCATGCTGCAAACAGCCCGTTCTAGCTCATTCCAAAGATACTCTATTTTCCACTCTTCAATTGTTCAGTGTTGGTGATCACGTGCCCACTGGAGCCGCTTCTTCTTGTTTTTAGCTAATAGGAGTGGAACCCGGTGTGGTCATCTGCTGCGATAGCCCATCTGTGACAAGGATCGATGAGTTGTGCGTTCCGTGATGCCGTTCTGCACACCACTGTACTGTGCAGTTATTTGTTTGTGGCCCACCTGTTAGCTTGCACGATTCTTGCCGTTCTCCTTCGACCTCTCTCGTCAACGAGCTGTTTTCGCCCACAGGACTGCCGCTGACTGGATGTTTTTTTTTCTTTTTTCGCACCATTCTTGGTAAACCGTAGACACTGTCGTGTATGAAAAGCCCAGGATGGCGGCCATTTCTGAGGTACTGGATCCGGCACACCTGGCACCGACAATCATTCAGTCGCTCATTTTCCCATTTTAACGTTCAATCGAACAGTAACTGAATGCCTCGATGCCTGTCTGCCTGCTTGCTTTATATAACACGCCACGGCCACATGACTCACTGTCTGTAGGAGCAATCCATTTTTGTGAAGGGGGTGGTGTACCTAATAAACTGTCTGGTGAGTGTATACTTTATTAGTCCAAACAAGATGGAAATGTGTTTTCATCCAACCCCCCGATATACACACAACACACATTAGGTTGGAGCACCCAATGAGCAGTTTAGGGGGTTATTTCCTTGCTCAAGGGAACATCGGTGGTTGCCAGCTCACTCCCCGACAGATCCACAGATACACTCCACAGAACTGGGCGTTACGGAAGAGTGGCCAGAAAAAAAGCCATTGCTTAAAGAAAAAAAATAAGCAAACACGTTTGGTGTTCGCCAAAAGGCATGTGGGAGACTCCTCAAACATATGGAAGAAGGTACTCTGGTCAGATGAGACGCTATGTCTGGCGCAAACACAACACCTCTCATCACCCCGAGAACACCATCCCCATAGTGAAGCATGGTGGTGGCAGCATCATGCTGTGGGGATGTTTTTCATCGGCAGGGACTGGGAACCTGGTCCGAATTGAAGGAATGATGGATGGCGCTAAATACAGGGAAATTCTTGAGGGAAACCTGTTTCATTCTTCCAGAGATTTGAGACTGGGACGGAGGTTCACCTTCCAGCAGGACAATGACCCTAAGCATACTGCTGAAGCAACACTTTAGTGGTTTAAGGGGAAACATTTAAATGTCTTGGAATGGCCTAGTCAAAGCCCAGACCTTTGGGGGAGGGTGAATAATTCTGCACGCTCAAGTTTTCAGTTTTTTTGTCTTATTTCTTGTTTGTTTCACAAGAAAAAATTTTTTGCAACTTCAAAGTGGTAGGCATGTCATGTAAATCAAATGATACAAACTCCCCAAAAATAAATTTTAATTCCAGGTTGTAAGGCAACAAAATAGGAAAAATGCCAAGGGGGGTGAATACTTTCACCTAAATCAACCATTTATCGGATCATCAAGAACTTCAAGGAGAGAGGTTCAATTGTTGTGAAGAAGGCGTCAGGGCGCCGAAGAAAGTCCAGCAAGCGCCAGGACCGTCTCCTAAAGTTGATTCAGCTGCGGGATCGGGGTACCACCAGTGCAGAGCTTGCTCAGGAATGACAGCAGGCAGGTGTGAGTGCATCTGCACGCACAGTGAGGTGAAGACTTTTGGAGGATGGCCTGGTGTCAAGAAGTGCAGCAAAGAAGCCACTTCTCTCCAGGAAAAACACCAGGGACAGACTGATATTCTGCAAAAGGTACAGGGATTGGACTGCTGAGGACTGGGGTAAAGTCATTTTCTCTGATGAATCCCCTTTCCGATTGTTTGGGGCATCCGGAAAACACCTTGTCCGAAGAAGACAAGGTGAGCGCTACCATCAGTCCTGTGTCATGCCAACAGTAAAGCGTCCTGAGACCATTCATGTGTGGGGTTGCTTCTCAGCCAAGGGAGTGGGCTCACAATTTTGCCTAAGAACACAGCCATGAATAAAGAATGGTACCAACACATCCTCCGAGAGCAACTTCTCCCAACCATCCAAGAACAGGTTGGTGACGACCAATGCCTTTTCCAGCATGATGGAGCACCTTGCCATAAGGCAAAAGTGATTACTAAGTGGTTTGGGGAACAAAACATTGAAATGTAGGGTCCATGGCCAGGAAACTCCCCAGACCTTAATCCCATTGAGAACTTGTGGTCGATCCTCAAGAGGCGGGTGGACAAACAAAAACCCACAAATTCTGACAAACTCAAAGCATTGATTATGCAAGAATGGGCTGCCATCAATCAGGATGTGGCCCAGAAGTTAATTGACAGCATGCCAGGGCAGATTGCAGAGGTCTTGAAAAAGAAGGGTCAACATTGCAAATATTGACTCTTTGCATAAACTTAATGTAATTGTCAATAAAAGCCTTTGACAGTTATGGAATGCTGTAATTATACTTCAGTATACCATAGTAACATCTGACAAAAATATCTCATAACACTGAAGCAGCGAACTTTGTGAAGACCAATACTTGTGTCATTCTCAAAACTTTTGACCATGACTGTAGATCAGGGTTTCTCAAACTCTGTCTTGGGACCCCAAGAGGTGTGGTTTTTGCCGTAGCACTACACAGCTGATTCAAATAATCATCAAGCTTTGAACATTTGAATCAGCTGTGCAGCTCTTGGTGTCCCCAGGACAGAGTTTGGGAAACCCTGCTGTAGATGACCAGCAGGGTCAAATAATAATCACTGTGATTATAGAGGGTGCAACAGGTCAGCACCTCAGGAATTGGCTTTTCATAACCGAGTATTCAGAGGTTGAGACAGCAGGTGCAGTAGAGAGAGAGACAGACAAGGTAGCACGACTAGTGAACAGGTTAGAATTCCATAGCTACAGGCAGAACAGCAGAAACTTGATCAGCAGCACAACCAGGTGGACTCGGACAGCCAGTAGTTGTTAGGCCAGGTCATCCTGAGGCATGGTCCTAGGGAGGAGAAGGTCTTTATTGCCACATGCACTTATGTAAGCATGTACAATTCAGCGCTGACATGCTTGAAGTTAAATAAACATAACTACAGACCACTTAAACTGGTACAATACTTCCACTCATGGGGGGTGGCCAAAATTAACTAGTTGAAAGCCTTTTCGAGTGAATTGTGTCGTTACCACACATGACTGAATTTGTTAGTGACAGAAACATGGTTGTTGAATTCATTCATTTCCAGTCCTGTGGACTTCGCCAAGTTCTTACTCTAAATTTATGACAATACATTACACATATCATAAGGCCTTACTTTGACAACCAGGTTTTACCCTAACCAGTGGTGTTAGGAACCTCCTGGTTTGCCAACACATGGCTAACCTTTGTTTAACCATGTGTTTGGAGTAGGCTATGTTAAAGTTTACACTTCATCTTCCAATTACAGACGTAGGATCTTAATTTGAGCCAGTTTGCTAAAGCAAGAAAATAATCCTGCAGAAAAAGTAAATGTGAATTATTATGTGGATTGTAATTCATGAGCATTGTTGTTGGGGTTGATACATGGGGCGGCGCACAATTGGCCCAGCGTCGTCCAGGGTAGGGGAGGGAATGGCCGGCAGGGATGTAGCTCAGTAGAGCATGGTGTTTGCAACGCCAGGGTTGTGGGTTCGTTTCCCACGGGGGGCCAGTATGAAAAATATAATATAATGTATGCACTAACTGTAAGTCGCTCTGGATAAGAGCGTCTGCTAAATGACTAAAATGTAATGTAAATGTAAATGTAAATGTTTGCAAAGTGATGTGTAATTCCTACTGGAATCCAGCCGGAGTTAGGACAGCCAACAGTTGGAATTTTTATTAACCCGCAACTTGCATTCCGAATAACTGAGAGGGTTAGAAAGAGTGATAATGGAGACTACCTAAACCATTTAAACTGGAACAACCATTTCAGTAACAATTACAATACATCTAACTAACTGATTGGATTAGTTTAGAAACAAATTATGTTATTTATCTTTGTGGAGCATAAGATCAATCAATCAATGTACAGACAAAAACAATCCCCGAGATGCATAGAGCTAGAAGAGAATGATCGAGATGAGAGACGACGATAGAGATGATCTCTATAGAGATAGAGAGAGAGAGATAGCAGAGAGAGACGGAGAGGAGAGCGACTACTAGCCGCGACTACGCTCTTCTCTCTAGAGCGCGAGAGAAGAGATCCCCGAGTATAGAGAATACTCTCTCTACGAGACGAGCGCTCGCTCTAGAGCTCGCTCTATGCTCTCTCTCTCTCTCTGCTCTCTCTATCTCTCTCTCTGCTCTTCGCTCCTCTCCTCTCTCTCTCTCTCTCTTCCTCTCTCTCTCTCGCTTCTCTCTCTGCTCTTCTCCTCTCTTCTCTGCTCTCTCTCTCTCTCTCTCCTCTCTCTCGCTCTCTCTCGACTCGCTGCTCTCCTCTCCTCTCTCTCGTCTCTCTCCTCTGCTCTTCTTCTCTCTCCTCTCTCTCCTCTCTCTCTCTCTCTCTTCCTCTCTCTCTCTCTCGCTCTCTCGCCTCTCTCTCTCTCCTCTGCACTCTTGCTCTCTCTCTCTCTCTCTCTCTCGTCGAGAAGCGAGTATAGAGAGAGAGAAACAATTCTCTTCCTGGTTTTTTTTTTTTGTAGAGTATGGTGTGTGTCACGTGCAGCTGGTCGAATATGTATCCCTGTTTTGGCTTCTCTCACCCAACTCATGTGGGATGACTTAGTGCTGCTCTATTTTGCACCATCCCTGGAATGCTGGTGTGTTTGTATTCAGGTAACAAGAAAGATACAGTGTGGTCCTCTGTAGCTCAGCTGGTAGAGCACGGCGCTTGTAACGCCAAGGTAGTGGGTTCGATCCCCGGGACCACCCATACACAAAAAAAAATGTATGCACGCATGACTGTAAGTCGCTTTGGATAAAAGCGTCTGCTAAATGGCATATTAGTATTATTATATTATTAGTATTATTATTATACAGTGTGTGTATCATGGGCCAATATTTGACTCATCCCCTGAATTTAGAAGTGTTGCTCATCCACTTTTAGTGGTGTGTATGACGGTCTCTACGTATTTATAGAGATGTAATGGAACACATATTACATGTGCTCTTCCTCTGTGTTGGGCCAAAGGCATGAGACACCAGTGACTTTCCACTGGTACTCATATTCTGCCAGCTAGGGCAAAGAACCTGCACAGTCGAGACACTAATAGGAATGTCTCCAGGTTTATTCGTTTATTCGTTATAAGTATGTGTGTCTGTTATCTGGGCATGAGTTTATTAATGTGCCTGCCTGCATGTGTGTGTGTACGTGTGTGTTGTCTGTGCATGCATAAGTGTGTTTATTCATGTGTACTTTGTGTGTTCTCCAGATGCTCTGACCCCAGCCTCCAGCCCGTCGTCAGGGGGGTATGGGGCGGCTGCAGGGCTGGAGGAGTTCTCCTCCACCTCTCTCAACCTGGAGTGTCGGGTGTGTGCCGACCGCGCCTCCGGATACCACTACGGAGTTCACGCCTGTGAGGGCTGCAAGGTGAGAGTGACCAGCCATCACACACACACACACACACACGCACATATGCAGAGCATGCACAAACACACACACACACACACACACACACGTGCACGCACACACATTAATATATGCATACATACACACACACCTGGTCAGAGTGCACTCTAACACATATTGTACAACAAGGACACTGGTGTGGATGCTTTCTTGGTTAATTATTAATGGGCCTGTTGAAGAGAAACCCAAGGCTTATGTGTTTTGTCACAAGTCACTGGAGGACAGAGCAGATCTTAATGTGCCACTAGATGACACTGTAAGATAATGTAGTTTTGGTGTAATTATGACCCACATACCACTAACCACTAAGGAAGCATATCCCAGTCTTTAGTTGTGACCCAAAAGGAAGTGGTCAATGTGCTACATTGCTACTGTATTACTTCTTAGCCTTTGAATGGTAATGGCAAAAAAATTTAAATGAATAGATTTGCTGGAGAACTTTCCTGTAATTAAGGAAATGTCTAACTTGTAGTCATGTAGGAGGTTTAAAAAGGCTTCAAAAGTTTGTAATTTCCACTAAAACATTTGACTTGATTTTCCCTTACGGAAAATGTATCAACCCCAACAACAATGCTCATGAATTATAATTACATAATAATTCACATTTACTTTTTCTGCAGGATTATTTTCTTGCTTTAGCAAACTGGCTCAAATTAAGATCCTACGTCTGTAATTGGAAGATGAAGTGTAAACTTTAACATAGCCTACTCCAAACACATGGTTAAACAAAGGTTAGCCATGTGTTGGCAAAAATGAATGTCCAGGTCAAGAAAGCTTACAAGCAGCCAGCAGCACTTGCTGCGACTGGTACTTGCGGGTGCTTTTTCAAAGCCAATGTCAGATACTCCAGTGATTGTAATTAACTCCAATGAGTGTAATTTACACAATATTAGGAGTTGAGAAATAAAGTTGCCATCATTCGAAATAAGATATTCTCCTCTTTTCTACTGTAGGTATGTAATTCATTTATTCTGTTTTTGCTAGCGATATTCATAAAACATTCGAAATATTTTCGGGGACCCCTGCAGTACCTCCGCGGGACCCCAGGTTGAATAACCCTGCCCCAAGGAGAAGAGTCAATTCTCACCCTGCTATGAAAGTCAGGCAAAGATAGTGGGTTTTCATCCACTACATTTCCTACATACTCTTTCACCCTGAATGTATGGGTGATGTCTTCTGGATCCCTGGCCAGCCCATCTATCCCTGTGCCAGGACTGTCTGAGTATGGATGTCACATAGCGAAGTTGGCGGTGCTTTCAGTCACTCCTTCCCCTCATGTCAACATACTGTTACACTGAGTTCCAGATGGCAGGGCCACAGCAGAGAACGGGCTACAGTGTATCCTACCCTGCCCAGACTGGACCTGGCTCAGGGCTGCTGGAGGCTAGAGTGGACATTTTACTGAACTAGTTAAGCATAGCTGTCCCAGATTAGAACTTCAGCTATGTGTGCTACGTGGTCCATGGAGCAGGCCTGGTATGGGGCCATAAACCAGAGGTCGCAGTTGCTCTGACAGTGAACTCTGTGAACCTTCCTCTTGACCAATCAGAGGGGCAGCACGGAGAGGGCCGGTGTGGCATGGAGACATACTGAAGGGCATAGCTAGATACACAAACATACAGTACATAACACACGTACAATACATACACACACAGATATTTAGAACCTATGAGGAAATTCAGAATGATTCAGAACTGTAAGTTCGGATCCTGGATGCTGATAGGCTAAAACAGCATTCCAGCTGTCCCCTCTCTGATGTCACATACCTACGTGTGCCCCGCTCCTCAGCTGTGTGGTCACCTGAGAGTCACGGGAGGGGAGAGGAGGGGACTGACCCCTGGATAGGACGACGGACAGCAACACGAGACAGGCTTGGCATGAGGCCGTTGTGTCTGACAGCCATTCTGCCCTTGCCTCATGTCATCCTCGAGGGGTGTGTGTGTACGTGCATGCCATGTGCAGGGACACATTAAGGAGATCTTTCACAAGAATGGGGAGATGAATGTCTTGGGATGGGGGCGGCTGAATATGTTCTTCTTAAGCAATTCCCTGTCCATTTCACTACGATCAGTCTGGACATACACTGTTGTTTGTCAGGGTTGTGTAATATAAGTGAAATCCCATTTAGTCGTGATAAGCATGAATGTCCAGACTGATAGTGTCATGCTCCAGTCATTGGGTCCATTCTCTGTATTTCACTTTTTTAACAGAGAAAGTGGCTGTTGGGTGATTGGAGGTTTCCTAGTGTCATGTTCTAGGCCAGGACACTGCCATCACTTCGCTGATAAATAGCTGAGATTGAGAGAGTCTTAGATGACGGAACACATTTAATAATGTTTGCAGTTGAGAGATATCAAGATACCAGGTATGAACTGACAATAGTCTTCTTTTATCAAGTCACTATAGTGTATGTGGTTGAGTTACCCTACTGAGTCGAGGCCGAGTTTTTTCATGTGTGCAGTCTATTGGGTCTCGACCTGAACATTTATCTCTCTCCTCTTTCTGTCCCTGCAGGGTTTCTTTCGGCGGACCATCCGCCTCAAGCTGGAATATGACAAGTGTGAGCGCCGCTGTAAAATACAGAAGAAGAACCGTAACAAGTGCCAATACTGCCGCTTCCAGAAGTGCCTGTCTGTGGGCATGTCCCACAACGGTGAGGAACACAGACATAGCCAGAGCCCTGAGTACTGTTTACTGCATACAGCACAACCTGCCAGCAGCAACCAGAGAGGAGCACACACACACACACACACACACATACGCATTTGCACGTAGACATATGCACACATACACGTACGCCATTCAAACCCACACTCTTGAGGAACCGGGAGTTGCAATTTTACACCACATCAACATATACGGTTGCTTTTCAAGACTAATGAGAGTAGGTAATCATTTGAGAGACAGCCGTGAATACTACAATTATCATTACACTTTTTAATTTTTTCACATTTGCATCATTTCATATTTTGCTGTATCCAGACAAAAACGATGCAGAACTGCAATTGATGCATAAGTCTCTCTGCCTATATGTGGTGGTGTCTATGCAGACTCTCTGTGGTGTTTCATTGTGAAGGTCAGTAAAACTATAAGGTGGGGTTGTATTGCGTTAGCTGAACCCTCTCACCCTTTAGCTGTTGATGTGTGAACAGAGAGACATGCAGTGGGAGTCTCAGCCTGGGCCTGCCGGTCATGTGACCAGAGCTGTATCTGCACTGGGTTAGGCTGTACAGTACATTAGCCCCACTGATCAATGAGCTGACCTAGTTGAGAATTGAAGGTCATTTAGACTGATAGAGAGCTTTGCAGGGTAGCGGAGGCGGTCTTTCAATAGGATACATTACTAGTGCAACAGTGTAAAAAATCGTAAAACAGATTTCGCTGTCCAGAAAAAATCACAGACATGCACCCTCATACAGTGAGGGAAAAAAGTATTTGATCCCCTGTTGATTTTGTACGTTTGCCCACTGACAAAGAAATGATCAGTCTATAATTTTAATGATAGGTTTATTTGAACAGTGAGAGACAGAATAACAACAACAAAAATCCAGAAAAACGCATGTCAAAAATGTTATAAATTGATTTGCATTTTAATGAGGGAAATAAGTATTTGACCCCCTCTCAATCAGAAAGATTTCTGGCTCCCAGGTGTCTTTTATACAGGTAACGAGCTGAGATTAGGAGCACACTCTTAAAGTGAGTGCTCCTAATCTCAGTTTGTTACCTGTATAAAAGACACCTGTCCACAGAAGCAATCAATCAATCAGATTCAAAACTCTCCACCATGGCCAAGACCAAAGAGCTCTCCAAGGATGTCAGGGACAAGATTGTAGACCTACACAAGGCTGGAATGGGCTACAAGACCATCGCCAAGCAGCTTGGTGAGAAGGTGACAACAGTTGGTGCGATTATTCGCAAATGGAAGAAACACAAAAGAACTGTCAATCTCCCTCGGCCTGGGGCTCCATGCAAGATCTCACCTCGTGGAGTTGCAATGATCATGACAACGGTGAGGAATCAGCCCAGAACTACACGGGAGGATCTTGTCAATGATCTCAAGGCAGCTGGGACCATAGTCACCAAGAAAACAATTGGTAACACACTACGCCGTGAAGGACTGAAATCCTGCAGCACCCACAAGGTCCCCCTGCTCAAGAAAGCACATATACAGGGCCGTCTGAAGTTTGCCAATGAACATCTGAATGATTCAGAGGAGAAATGGGTGAAAGTGTTGTGGTCAGATGAGACCAAAATCGAGCTCTTTGCCATCAACTCAACTCGCCATGTTTGGAGGAGGAGGAATGCTGTCAATGACCCCAAGAATACCATCCCCACCATCAAACATGGAGGTGGAAACATTATGCTTTGGGGGTGTTTTTTCTGCTAAGGGGACAGGACAACTTCACCGCATCAAAGGGACGATGGACGGGGCCATGTACCGTCAAATCTTGGGTGAGAACCTCCTTCCCTCAGCCAGGGCATTGAAAATGGGTCGTGGATGGGTATTCCAGCATGACAATGACCCAAAACACACGGCCAAGGCAACAAAGGAGTCACTCAAGAAGAAGCACATTAAGGTCCTGGAGTGGCCTAGCCAGTCTCCAGACCTTAATCCCATAGAAAATCTGTGGAGGGAGCTGAAGGTTAGAGTTGCCAAACGTCAGCCTCGAAACCTTAATGACTTGGAGAAGATCTGCAAAGAAGAGTGTAACAAAATCCCTCCTGAGATGTGTGCAAACCTGGTGGCCAACTACAAGAAACGTCTGACCTCTGTGATTGCCAACAAGGGTTTTGCCACCAAGTACTGAGTCATGTTTTGCAGAGGGGTCAAATACTTATTTCCCTCATTAAAATGCAAATCAATTTCTAACATTTTTGACATGCGTTTTTCTGGGTTATTCTTTCTCTCACTGTTCAAATAAACATACCATTAATATTATAGACTGATCATGTCTTTGTCAGTGGGCAAACATACAAAATTAGCAGGGGATCAAATACTTTTTTCCCTCACTGTACATACAGACAGACTAACTACAAGCACTATAAACATAAGGATCTTTACTTTATGGAGAGTTCATCTACAAACAAAAACCTTGATAAAGGACAATGAGTTCAAATTCTTCGACCCTATTGGATGGATGTTGTTTACCTGTGTGTTTTATGTCAACATAAAACATGGCCTTCTGAACCTTAGCTAAGATGGATGTCCTGCCGTTTACAATGGACCTAAATAGAATTTCGAGGTTGTGTGTGGTGTGGAGTGTGTCAGTGTGGAGCGATGTGAAGAGGGGCTTAGCAAGATCACTGTAGTAGTCGGTCAGAGTTGACAGACAGACGGACTGACGGACAGACAGACACATACAGATGTAGGATCTTAATATTATCCCTCTTTTGTTGCAGGAAATGCAAACTTGTAGTGTATTTGGGTTTTAAAAATGCTTGTAAAGTTTGTCATTCCACTTTGAAATTTCAGACTTAATTTTCCCCTAATGAAAAATGAATGAACCCCTATTAATGAACCCCTACATTAATTATAATTCACATTTCCAGTTGCTGCAGGATTATTTTCCTGCTGTAGCAAACTGGCTCAAATTAAGATCATACAACTGTAGACCTGGGGACAAGTGTCAGTGAACTCATGGACACACTTCAGGTTGTGATATCACTGAACTGAACACTATCATGTTGGAGAGCAATCCAATATGTGGACTGATGGTCAACATTAGTATTTATTTCACATCTGGGAGCAGCACTTGTGTGTCCAAGATGAGTTTCCCCTTGTGGAAACACGTGTGTTGTGTTTCCTAAATGTAACAGTATACAGGTGAAAGTACATGGAACCTGATACACTGAGGCCCCCCCCCTCACTTTTGAAAGAAAATTGCACCACAACAAACCTGCCAAGAGAGGACCGCCCACCAAAACTCACGGACCAGGCAAGGAGGGCATTAATCAGAGAGGCAACAAAGAGACCAAAGATAACCCTGAAGGAGCTGCAAAGCTCCACAGCGGAGATTGGAGTATCTGTCCATAGGTCCTCTTTAAGCCGTAAACTCCACAGAGCTGGGCTTTACGGAAGAGTGGCCAGAAAAAAAGCCATTGCTTAAAGAAAAAAATAAGCAAACACGTTTGGTGTTCGCCAAAAAGCATGTGGGAGACTCCCCAAACATATGGAAGAGGGTACTCTGGTCAAATGAGACTAAAATTTAGCTTTTTGGCCATCAAGAAAAACGCTATGTCTCGCCAAACCCAACAGCTCTCATCACATCACGCCGAGAACACCATCCCCACAGTGAAGCATGGTGGTGGCAGCATCATGCTGTGGGGATGTTTTTCATCGGCAGGGAAACTGGTCAGAATTGAAGGAATTATGGATGGCGCTAAATACAGGGAAATTCTTGAGGGAAATTCTTTGAAGGTGGCTCTTCAAAGTATTGACTTTGCACGCTCAAGTTTTCTGTTTTTCTTGTCTTATTTCTTGTTTGTTTCACAAAATATATATATATATTGCATCTTCAAAGTGGTAGGCATGTTGTGTAAATCAAATGATACAAACCCCCCAAAAATCAATTTTAAATCAAGGTAGTAAGGCAACAAAATAGGAAAAATGCCAAGGGGGTGAATACTCTCGCAAGCCACTGTAGGTTGGGTTGTTTGTTGCTTGATAGACATCTGACAGATTGTTGTCCCACACCATCCCTGTGCTCTGCTGTAGAGGGTCAGAGACTCATCCTCTCACCCTCAGCTTAGTCTGATGTTCTTATCCTGGGTATCCTGATCCCTACTCAGAGCATCTCTCACTTCCTCTTTCGCTAATGAATCTTTCAAATACATTCAGCGTTTGCTTTAGCCTGCCTGGAGAGCCAGGTGGTTGCCTCTACACCTGTGAAATCGTGATTTGTTCAAATAACCAGTGATGGAAAAACCCAAGCACCGGAACTATTGCTGCTTGTTAGCTATCGGTGCCCATAGTATAAAGACAGTTATAAACTGGGTGGTTCAAGCCCTGAATGCTGATTGGCTGTATGCCACGGGTATGACAAAACATTTACTTTTACTGCTCTAATTACATTGGTACTGTAGATTTAAGCAATAAGCCACCTCGGGGGTTTGTGGTATATAGCCAATATACAAAGGCTAAGGGCTGTGTCCAGGCTCTCCGCATTGCGTCGTGCGAAAGAACAGCCCTTAGCCGTGGTATATTGGCCATATACCACACCCCATCCGTCCTTATTGCTTAAATCTACAGTACCAATATGTTTACATAGTCTGTCCACGAGAGATGAAGATGTATGTAATAGGTGCACCTGCTGTTGTGCACCCTATGAGGGAGGTGTGTGTGTGTGTGTGTTTGCGTGTGTTTGTTTGTGTGTTAGCCCACTGTGTCAGAGGGAAGGGGTTATAGGTAGTGCAACTGTAATCTGATTAGCTAGACACTTAGTATCAGACTGTCTGAGAGAGTCAGAGTCACTCTGTACAAAAACAATACACACACACACATACTAGGACTAGCTACCTGATTGGTCCTATTTCCTTTAGCGGTCTAACACATTGTTCCTCAGCTGACTCTCATCCTGCCCCCACTTCCCTCAACTGTCTCCAGGGATCCATAGCCTGTCTATATTTTACTTATTTTTTAAAAACAGTTAGTCATTTAGCAGACGCTCTTCTCCAGAGCGACTTACAGTTAGTGCATTCATCTTTAGATAGCTAGGTGAGACAACCACATATCTCAGTCGTAGTAAGTACATTTCCTCAATAAAGAATATAAAACATAACAAATAACACAACAGAAACAAAAGGCCCAGGACGTGGGGCAGCCCAGGAGGCAGGCGTCCATCTTGTCTCCCATAACTTCCAACGTATCAGACTCCATTACCCCATGCTCCTGGAAACAACCATACTTCTGGACTGCAATCCCTCCTGTGGGCGGCTTCCAAGTTACACCCAGAAACATTTGAACAACAGTGTTCAGGATTTGGCAAACAAATAAACAATACACATTGACTTGAGCCTCAATATCTTTCTTATGTTGATATGACAAACAATATACAATTGTCTTGAGTCTCCATATCTCGCTCAGCAAAACAGATGCATCTTTGTAATGTAAATGCAGTATATTATTTTTATCATGTCGTACGTCCTCATCTGTACAATCTCCTCTCTTTTTTCTCTAATTAGCGATCCGTTTTGGTCGGATGCCCCAGTCTGAGAAGCTAAAGCTGAAGGCAGAGATCCTGACGGGTGACATGGAGGTGGAGGACCCCCAGCAGGCCGACCAGAAGACTTTGGCCAGGCACATCTACGAGGCCTACCTCAAGAACTTCAACATGAACAAGGCCAAAGCACGGACCATCCTCACCGGCAAGACCAGCACTCCAGTAAGAGCAGTGTGTATAAGTGTGTGTGTGTGGTGGTGGTGGTGGGGGGGTGCATGTGCATTCATGCATGTTGGATCAAAAATGAAACTAACTCTCCAAAGGGAATCATTCAAATATTTGTTGCAACCCTGATGGTACTACATGTGTCTTCTATGCAATCAGATGGGTCCAATATTATATTTTGAATGATTCCCTTTGGAGTGCGTTGGCTGCATTTTGATCCGGTTAAATGGGATGAAATGTGCAAACAAACAGTCCTTTTGTGTCAACATAACCTATTGGCAACCACTACCCACTAGGAGCCAAAGAACCATGCAACGACAGAAATAACTTTCTCAATCAATGGCATTTAGAAGCCAACATGTCTGGACAAGGACACATCTGTCTGAATACATGAAGAGCATCTCTGTATGATCCTGACTCATAACGGACCATTATTAACAGTGTTTGAAGACCACTGCACCACTCCCTCCCTGCCTCCCTCCCTCTCTCTTTCTTTCTTTAAAGATGGTCCCCTTAGATCTGTGGTCTCCATTCATTCTTTCATCACATAGGATAATAAATGGGTGGGGTAAGGGTGAGGTTTCTGGTGAATTGGTGAAATCCATCTTCAGTGGGCATAGGTGTGGCAGAGGTCAGAAAGGAGAGGTCAGAAAGGAGGATCACAGTGTTGTAATCCGTGAGCAGAAGCGGTGGATCAACTACACAGTAACGCTATGGATAGACATTCCGCTCAGCTTTAGCATAGCCTTTAGCAATGCCTTGTAGTGTCTTCTGCACAGATTGACCTCGTTTTCTGTTGTTGATTAAGCTGCTCTTACCCAGCTGCCACCTTCAGCAATAATATTCTGGCCTGCATTGCTAGTCAGATGTTGGGAGCGTATCATATTGTGTTGAGTAAGCTGTGTGTAGCACACAGCTTTAGTTAGGAGCAAGTGCTGGATTGGCTCCTGTGGGAACTTTCAATACTGCAGCTCTGGTAGTGAACTTACAGCCCCACCAACACGGTGACCCAGATATGTGTTGTTTAGCAGCCTTCCACTCTAAAAACCAATGTGTTGAAAACAACTCATGAGAGTTAGTGATAACAGTTGAGTTTAAGTTCACAGTCCTGTATTTTCTATTGGAAATATGTGGAGCTGGTGTCCTTGCAGTGCTTGCTTGAAGAAGCGCAGGCAGCAGTGTTTTTGTAAGATGTGGCTCAGTATCTAAGGGTACACACCTGATAAGATTAGATTGGCCTGTTGTTTGTTTTGCTACAATGTAGGACATCACAGCTAATCTAGACCCTGTTTGCCCTGTCCCCTGTTGTCAGATTTCTGACAACAACAGACATTTTTCAGGATAAATAAGTTACTGTAACCTTCACAGCTACATAACGGCAATAAAATACATTTTAGGTTTTGAAACTGACACAGGAACAGAGGTGTTCTATAATTTACTCTAGAGTCAAGGACAGGACTTGGATTATGTTACAATGAGGATTTACAACTACATGCAGTAAAGGCTATCTTTTCTTTCTGTCAATAAATGTTATATAGGCTGTCTATCCCTACATGTAGGCAGGACTGTGTGTGTAACATATGGTTCCTCACTCTAGTAGTAGTAATATTTCAAATACCTATCTTTTCCACAGGGTCTAGGTAGGGGCTAGGGTTCGGTTTGAAATAGGACAATTCCTATCTACCGGCCTTCCTACATACAGGGCTGTCATTACACATGGCTACAGACTATGTCTCCTCACCGCCCTGTCTCCCTCCATGCCCCTGCAGCCCTTCGTCATCCATGATATGGAGACCCTCCAGCTGGCAGAGCAGACCCTGGTGGCTAAGATGGTGGGCACGGCCGGGGGCCATCTGCTGGAGAAGGAGGCTGAGGTCCGCATCTTCCACTGTTGCCAGTGCACCTCCGTGGAGACGGTCACAGAGCTAACCGAGTTCGCCAAGTCTGTCCCCGGCTTCTCCAGCCTGGACCTGAACGACCAGGTGACTCTGCTGAAGTACGGCGTGTACGAGGCGCTGTTCGCCCTGCTGGCTTCCTGTATGAACAAGGACGGCCTCCTGGTGGCCTACGGATCAGGCTTCATCACCAGGGAGTTCCTCAAAAGTCTGAGGAGACCCTTCAGTGACATGATGGAGCCCAAGTTTCAGTTCGCCATGAAGTTCAACGGGCTGGAGCTGGATGACAGTGACCTGGCCCTGTTTGTGGCCGCCATCATCTGCTGTGGAGGTGAGAGGGAGAGCGGGAGAAGCTTGGATCTGGGGTTAATGATCACTAATTGGTACACTAATTGGTTTTAGTGTTAATTACTATGCATCTTCTTGATGGATTTGCTAGTCCCCTCAATGCCAATCATAATGTCTGTTCTTGGGTTGACATAATCCACCTTCTTTCTCTAACTCTCCTCTCCTCTTTTCTCTCCCTCAGACCGCCCTGGCCTGGTGAACGTGGCCCACATCGAGTGCATGCAGGAGAACATTGTTCAGGTGCTGCGGCTCCACCTGCTGGCCAACCACCCGGACGACACCTTCCTCTTCCCCAATCTGCTGCAGAAACTGGCCGACCTCCGTCAGCTGGTCACCGAGCACGCGCAGTTGGTCCAGGAGATCAAGAAGACAGAGGACACGTCGCTCCACCCCCTGCTGCAAGAGATCTACAGGGACATGTACTGAGATATTGAGCCGAGGGAGGAGGGCTAGGGGCTGGGAACACACACCTCACCCTCCATTTTGGGGATGTACTGAGCCTAGAAAGGAGGTTGTCCGCCATTTTGGGGACACAGGCGTGAACAGTCTATCTGAACAGTCCCACGGTGATAGGGTTGAACCACTGAACCCCCAGATGCAGGGTTGCTCGTCTTTCTCAGGAGAGAGAGTATTGGTGTTTATGAGGCCCAGACATCACAGGACAAGACAGAACTACAGGACTATACTGTGGGCACCTGCAGTGGGGTCCACTACTCCTACAGGGACCTATAGGGCCGTATTACATGTGTGGAGGGGCAATGTGGAGCTGAATTTAGTCTCCTGTCCTATCCTAGTGTTTGTCCTAATGCAGCTCCCAGCTAGAGAACATGTATCGGGCTGGGTATAGACACCTTCAGGCCAACGTCAGAAGAAGTACACGGATCAAATAATAAATTGCTGGTTTGGGTAACTAAGATTCAGTCAGACTATAACCACTAGAATCCCTGCTTAGGTACACACTTAAAGGGGCCTGCACTGAGCCATACTCAGGCCATAGAGTGAAGAACAGCAGGACTTACTCTTCAGAATCACCACTCCAGCAGTATGTTTTTAACTATGCCATTTTGTACCGAACGTGAGAGTGAGAGGAAAGAATAATAATGATGCACACCTACTTTGCAGTAAAGACACCCAAGTGACTTCAATGCCGACTACAGATTTTAGATGTGAGTGACTGTGTCTCACGGTAAGGCAGCTTTTTCAGCGATTGGCTGTGCTCCCCTAGTGAGGTACAGATGCAGGATCTTAATTTGAGACAGTTTGCTACAACAGGACAATAATCCTGCAACAACAGGAAATGTGGATTATAATTAATGGACATTTTTGTAGGGGTTGATACATTTTTCGTTAGTGCCAATCAAGTCTGACATTTAAAAGTAGAAATTACAAACTTTAGAAACCTTTTACACTACAAGTTTGCATTTCCTGCTGTGCAGGCAAATTCTCAGCAACAAAAGAGTGATCCATCAAATGAAGATCCTACATCTGTAATGGGATTGCATGGTCCGTTTCCAAATACACCATACTGTACCTGGCTATTGGCCCTCAGATGCGGCTCAAAATCCAACTCACAGGACAAGTAAATGGAACAGATTGCTTCATTCATTTTGGGAAAGCTCTCCTGTGCCTTTTCAAATTCTTACTCCTGCTTAGGCTATAATTAATCATGTATTAGAAATGGGATTCCTCTGGAAAAACTTTAACTATAACTATAATTTAGCCATTAATTTAACATGGGCATATTCACTAATGTTATCATGGATGAGGCTACAGAGTTTCAGTAATTGCTCCCTCTATATCTCTCTGAATATTTTGTCCTTTGCTATTTTCGACACAAGACCCACAGCCTCAGTTGGACAGACACACTCTTGGCCTTAACAGGCTTCCGTTGTTCAAACGTCAGTTACTCTTCAGTCATTCTACAGATAATTATTCCCCATGTGCTGTATAGTGATAGTTTTCACATACCTTACCATCCATCTCATTTTCCTCTCCTATCTAAACCTAACTCTAACAGGGAGGCTTTGGTGTGCATTATATTCATTTCATAAAACCAATGTGAAGCTCAGTGAACTTTTCAGTACTTTCACAAACAAAGGCAAACAAACTACCATGTCAATCGTGTTTCCCCCACCCTTCAGAACATGGCTCCATCCGGACATTTTGTTTGTAAGTAGTTTGATTTCCTTCATAACAGACATTCAGAAATTACCACAGTCAGAGATTCACTATGTAAATGCACCCACAATGCAACACTAAAGCACAAGTGTGCTTCCGAGATGTGATATGAGACTATTTTATGTACTGTACCTCCGTTATTACGCCTTTTTGACAAACACACACACAAATATTTGTTTTGTATTCTGGTATTAAAGGGCTTATACGACGTTAAACTACATTAAAACATTAACACATGCAGATTGAGAGCAGATTGACCACATTTTAAGCAATTTACCAGAAAGCCTGTTATTTTACACTCTCTCTCTCTCTCTCTCTCTCTCTCTCTCTCTCTCTTTCTCTCTGTCACAGTGCCTCCTTTGGCTTGGCTTGGCTTGGTCCTCCTCTTGCTCCATAGGTTAAGGGCTCGATTCAATCCGTAGGGTGGAAGATCTGCGTTGTAGCGTAATTGACATTTAAAGTTAATTTCCGATTGAGCCGACAAACACAGCGTTTAGCGTGAATGCAATCCCCACAAACGCGGTAACATTGCCTTTAAATGTTAGATCTTCCAAGCCCTACGGTTCAGGGAATTATGCTACACAATGTTAATACATTATTTTGCATTGATGACAGATGAGCATTGTTGCGCTCTCATTTTCTTACAGAATAGAATAACAAACGTTTAAACTCTTTACTGGTATAATATGGAATGTCAAGTAACCCAGTATGGGTTCCTCTCTGCTCTCTCCGTGATTTGCAATATGCATGGAAAACAACTTACAACTGGATGTTAGAGTCTAGTAGAGATGAAATACTAATATTGCCTCATCAAACCAGCCATCAATCCCTCACAGAACTATTGGGAATGTTGCAAAAACAGAATGAAATAATCATTCATGTGTGCATGTTTGTCTGATGGAAATATGTACTTATGTGTATTTTCTGTGAGGGAATGTTTTTTGTTCTTTGCTTACCGTACCAAATTCTCATCTGAATCCACAAATCAATGATTTGGTTTGGTATAATGGACCTAGCTTCATTCTCTGCACCACATTGTATACATGCTTTGTACATAGATTCAGTGATTATGTGATTGCTTGCCCCAACTTTAACCGGAGGTATACAAGACACTAACTATTATTGGATATGTTTTGTATTCCTCTTTGTCTGGTAAATACTTTTCAATTTTTTTAATTGTACAGAAATGCAGTTATGGTTTTGCTTAAAGGCCAAATTCACTCAAAAACTCTCTTTTTTCATTAGTCCACTGTTGATACAATCTTGCTTCTTGAAAGTTTAATATCTTGAAAACTTGACTGCTGACATGCAAAACATTTTAGGACTGTATTAACAGTGGACTAATGAAAAAAATACCAAAAGAGAGGTTTTGAGTGAATTTGGCCTTACCTAATTTGACCATGTTATAATTTTTATACTAAAGCTAAAGCATATCTATGAGTAGATCTGAAATTGTTTTCCTTGAATTACAAGGTTGAAGAGTGCAATGTCAATACAGTAACTTAGAGTAACTAAGTAACTGGTGATATAACCATAGATTTGTTTCCCAATGGGGACATTCCTTCTGTTAATTCCCCCTCTATAGAGGGAGAGAGTTACCATGTTATGTACAGTATGTGCTGTGCTTAGCTTTAGGGATACAAAAAGCACTCATAGCAAATATCAAGACTTGACTACGAAACCTGCTATGGGTTATTGGCACTATATTTTCACTAGATAACATGATCTGGATATATTCTTTGTCTTGAACAGACATAAGTAAATAATTGGTGTTAAGACTGATAATAAGCTATCTTGGCACAGATCATACAGTACTGCAAGTCTCCTATGTTGTCATCTCAGGTTGAAGATTAAGTAATAGAGGGGATGGTTAGGGCGTAATTTCACTATTCATTAACATAAATGCTCCATAACTGCCTCATCATGTACTTCAAGCCAACCCGTTTGTCGTTTTTATGGCCCTGTTATATCCCTTCTCTGTATTGATAAATATATACAACATTATGCACTCATAACTTGTCCTCTTAGACACAATGAACAGCGATTTCATAACAGCTAAATGCAGTTAAAGAAAGATGCAGTAATACGATACAATATATTGTTTATTAACACACTCCCATTGTATCAAGCTTTTTGCGCCCTTCCGTTCTCCTCCTCACTAACTGCTATGTTCTAACTTAACTATAATCATGCCATATGTTAGATAACTGATTTTCAAGCTCCCTGTAATGGCAGTTCTATAGTATGTATTCCTCAGGAATGTCAGGCCTCCATAGAACGCAACGATGCTTTAATCCACTGCCACCTGGATCTAGATTCTAGAATCACCAGGTGAACTGAATACATTAGGGATTAAACACAACCCGTGCCTTAACCCATGCCATACAACATTAGACACAATACAGTAAAGTCCTAAAGACGCGCACAGTTCTGTACAGTTCTGTGTCACCAAGGTGCTGGTATGGATATGACACTACACAGTACAGAGATACACAAAGAGAGGATATGACATCATGACAGAATTAGGGAAGGTATCAGAATTGTGATAGGCAGACGGATTATTGTTGAATCTGTGGAACATAATGACTGCTTGGAATCATATTCTTCTAAATTAGAGAGATCGCTCTCTTGCAATAGTGAAAATACAAACAAGCTAATGTAATGGTTCAAACACTAGAGATTTCTGCTACCATTAGTGATGTATATTGTTTTGTGTTGAATTGTCAAGAAACTTTTGACATGTATCAGGGAAAATGTTGTCTTCCTTAGTTTATAGTAGTTTAGGACATAGCGAGGTACTGTTCTTTTTTTTCTTTTTTTCAAGTGCGTTTATAGTGCTCTACCATACAGCACACAAATAATAATAACAATAAATAAATAAAACTATGTAGAAATGACGACGGCAGCAGATATAGGAAATACGATTTTTATTCTGTGTTAATTTACTACATTTCATGGAGTTGATGCAGTGGTGTTATGGCTAGTGTCATGCAAAGAGACTGGAGACCGTCTTTGGATGTTTTGTTTATGTATACTGTGGCTTGGTAGCAATACTGTAAATGTTTGACGAATGTATATCTAGTCATTTAAACAATAAACAAGTTGACTTTTAATGGATTTTAAAATAAAATGATTTTAAAATCCAACATTATTGTCCATCTATTTTTATGTGAATAATAACATCTTATTGATGGTGAAAGCTGAATATATGAAAGAAGTAGAGGCGATTCTATGATTTTTTTGATGGGGTGGCCAATGGGGGACCAAGAACCAGTCATGGGTGGCCATGGGAAATCAGCAAATTGTATCACAAATAGCGTTGAAAATTGGCTTGAACTATGATTAATTGTATTAAATAACTGTTTCAACTTTTAATTTGTATCTGCCCTAATTTATTCAAATAAATCCATTTGAAGAGATCCATATTGATCAATTTTCAAGCTAGATCCATATTCAGTAGTACCTCTCCCTCCAATGATTTGTTTTTTGAAAGTTGATGCTAATATACTGCATTTTTACATGCTATTTGCTATTTGGAACAGCAAAAACAAGCAAAAATTACTCCAGCCATTATCACCGTGGCTGCTGTAGATTCATTTCACTTCAGTCGATAAGGGACATATACACTGAGTGTACAAAACATTAGGAACACCTTCCTAATATTGAGTTGCACCCATTTTGCCCTCAGAACAGCCTCACTTCGTTGGAGCATGGACTCTACAAGTTGTCGAAAGCGCTCCACAGGGATGCTGGCCTATGTTGACTCCAATGCTTCCAACAGTTGTGTCAAGTTGGCTAGATGTCCTTTGGGTGATGGACCATTCTTGATGCACAAATGTTGAGCGTGAAAAACCCAGCATCGTTGCAGTTCTTAACACAAAAAGGTGTGCCTGGCACCTACTACCATACCCTGTTCAAAGGCACTTAAATATTTTGTCTTGCCCATTCACCCTCTGAATGGCACACATACACAATCCATGTCTCAATTGTCTCAAGGCTTAAAAATCCTTCTTTAACCTGTCTCCTTCCCTTCGTCTACACTGATTAAAGTGGATTTAACAAGTGACATCAGTAAGGGATCATAGATTTCACCTGGATTCACCTGGTCAATCTATGTCATGGAAAGAGCAGGTGTTTCTAATGTTTTGTACACTCAGTGTATAACATTCTAGAACAAGCATGCCATAACCTACAGCTATAAACTAGCTCAGCACCGGGATTAAAAACAAGTTTAGTTTTCTGTCAAGTCAAACAGCAGTTACCTAGCCATCTTCCACCTCTGCACTGCTGCCATCAACTCAACTGAGTTGTTCTTCTGCTAAGATCAGGTTTAACGGTGGTTGGCATTAGAGGTCTTCATGGGTCCAAAAAGTTGGGCCCGCTCCGAAATGGACCTGGGTCTTTCCCACCCGGACCTGATAAGCATAAACACATCAAATATATATAGAGACCCGTTCCGAATGGACCCAAGAGCAACTAGACCCGTTTCCGTATAGACCTGGTCGGATCCAGACCCCGTCCGATCCCATCCGATCCGAGTGAGGGAAGCAGCAGAAAAGTAATTTTCTAAGCTACTTTATTAACTGGAGCTGATAAAGCACAAGAGATGCTGCTCTAGAAGGCGGGGGAGGGGCTGTACTGTGAGCAAGTGACATGGGGAGCAGGGAGGAGTGAGGGAGAGACAGCAACCAACTATGCCGACTCACGCTATAGTAGACTAATTGCTGCCATAGCTACGTTATTTATCATCAAATATGATTACATAGTATCTGTCTTGGACTGCATCAAACCGAGAAGCTAGTTAAGCTAGCTAACATTAACCGTCTAACTAAGCTGCAGTGCATTTGCTTTCTCATCTTACAGTTACAAATAACAACTCCACTTAGAATATTAAGTAGCAGCCTACTGTGGCTTTTGGTCGTTGTAGCCTATCCTTCTCCTTTAACTTTGAATTCTGTCATTTTAATTCCATCTTCCATTGATTAGATATCTCCTAACTTTTGCCACACATGGAGCTAGGCTCTAAGAATGTAGCCTATTGCCGCTTTGATGACTTATGATTGGCCAACAAGCTACACGCACCATAAATTATACAATTTGTCTCTGTCTCTCAACTGCAGCATTCACGTTTGGATCTGTACAGGCCCTTCCGGACAAGTCGGTTAAAGTTACACATACCCGAGACCCGTGACAATCATATCAGACCCCACCCAGACCCGTGACATTATTTAGAATTCTGGATCCGGACCCAGAAACACAATTCCAACTAACCCTACACTCATTAAAACCCACTACCTCATTCCACTACTTTGACCCTATCTGCTCCATGCCAACGGCCTGGGAGGATGGGACACCACCACTCAACACACTCTGTAACTCTTATGAAGTCAAATCTCGTACACCCAAGTACTTCTCTGCAGCTGCCACCACAACATCTATTTTCTGTGATTTACGTTCAATTTCTGTGGTACAGTTGATAACTATTGCTATAAACGCTAAGAAGCTAACCTCTAACAGGGTAATTGATATAGCCTAACATGTCACAGGTGAAGAGAGGCGTGGGCAGGAGGCAGTCGCAGGTTTAGAACTACTGAATTTATTTAAGCACCAGAGATCAAAGCGGGACAAAACCCAAACGCTGTTGTGCTCAAAATATATCTTCATAAACAAAAAAGCACAGGGCGAACCCAAAGTGCAAAATATAAAGTCCTCAGGAAATAATAGGAGAGATTTCTCTCAGGAAAACAAGTAACATTTACAATGACCGACAAAGACAAATGGCAGAGGGAGTATATATACAGTGGGGATTGGAACCAGGTGCGTGTAATGATGACGAGACAAGTCCGGGGTTGATGAGTGAAGGGCGTTTGCCAGCAGTAGGTTCGGCAGCAGCTAGAAGGCCGGCGACGCCGAACACCTGAGCTGGACAGGAGGGCGAGCCAAAGCGAAGGCTGGTGTGACATAACATGACTTTGTCATGTAAAGATTCAAAACTCAAAAGGACAGACTGTGACTCCTCTGTTTCACCACACTCCCAAGTCGCGTTGTTCAATCGATGCAGCTGTGCTCTCCAAAGATCTAAAGCCAGCTAGCCAATAAAACAGCCTTTCCACTGGCTCTGAGCCGTCCGCATGGTCCTAAAGCCAGCCCTTATAAACTGCCAAAACAGACGTACTGTCTTTTCTCTCCAATCTGAGACAGATTGACAGCGCTCTGACCCAATGAGAATGGGGGGGTTCTAAGGGTGGCCAATCAAATTTCGGGGGGGGGGGGCGTTAACACCACTGCCACCCCTCTAAAACCGGCACTGGAAAGAAGGCAGTGTGAGGGCAAATGTCCTAGGTGGTGCATTTGCAGCGGTTCAGAGATGTGAGCACCTGTGTGATGAGAGTAAGAGGAGATGTAGGGAAAAGTTAAAGGAGCATGGAGATGTCTTAAAAATAAAAGGAGATTCAGGAGAAGCTATGTTTGAGATGATGCTGGAGGGCTGCGGGCGGACTGCTCCTGGAGAAGATGGGTGTGTTGTGTGATGTTTAAGCATGCACCGAACAGTGTGTTGGAAGCAGTGTTAGGGTTGTATAATAAGGTGTGGAGGACTGGGGTGATACCTGCCGGGGAAAATGTGCGGTGGTGTTGCCGTTTGTAAAACCAGGTAAAGATTCCGCTAGGGTGGGCAGTTACAGTGGGGGAAAAAAGTATTTAGTCAGCCACCAATTGTGCACGTTCTCCCACTTAAAAAGATGAGAGAGGCCTGTAATTTTCATCATAGGTACACGTCAACTATGACAGACAAATTGAGAAAAAAAAAATCCAGAAAATCACATTGTAGGATTTTTAATGAATTTATTTGCAAATTATGGTGGAAAATAAGTATTTGGTCACCTACAAATAAGCAAGATTTCTGGCTCTCACAGACCTGTAACTTCTTCTTTAAGAGGCTCCTCTGTCCTCCACTCGTTACCTGTATTAATGGCACCTGTTTGAACTTGTTATCAGTATAAAAGACACCTGTCCACAACCTCAAACAGTCACACTCCAAACTTCACTATGGCCAAGACCAAAGAGCTGTCAAAGGACACCAGAAACAAAATTGTAGACCTGCACCAGGCTGGGAAGACTGAATCTGCAATAGGTAAGCAGCTTGGTTTGAAGAAATCAACTGTGGGAGCAATTATTAGGAAATGGAAGACATACAAGACCACTGATAATCTCCCTCGATCTGGGGCTCCACGCAAGATCTCACCCCGTGGGGTCAAAATGATCACAAGAACGGTGAGCAAAAATCCCAGAACCACACGGGGGGACCTAGTGAATGACCTGCAGAGAGCTGGGACCAAAGTAACAAAGCCTACCATCAGTAACACACTACGCCGCCAGGGACTCAAATCCTGCAGTGCGAAACGTGTCCCCCTGCTTAAGCCAGTACATGTCCAGGCCCGTCTGAAGTTTGCTAGAGTGCATTTGGATGATCCAGAAGAGGATTGGGAGAATGTCATATGGTCAGATGAAACCAAAATAGAACTTGTTGGTAAAAACTCAACTAGTCGTGTTTGGAGGACAAAGAATGCTGAGTTGCATCCAAAGAACACCATACCTACTGTGAAGCATGGGGGTGGAAACATCATGCTTTGGGGCTGTTTTTCTGCAAAGGGACCAGGACGACTGATCCGTGTAAAGGAAAGAATGAATGGGGCCATGTATCGTGAGATTTTGAGTGAAAACCTCCTTCCATCAGCAAGGGCATTGAAGATGAAACGTGGCTGGGTCTTTCAGCATGACAATGATCCCAAACACACCGCCCGGGCAATGAAGGAGTGGCTTCGTAAGAAGCATTTCAAGGTCCTGGAGTGGCCTAGCCAGTCTCCAGATCTCAACCCCATAGAAAATCTTTGGAGGGAGTTGAAAGTCTGTGTTTCCCAGCGACAGCCCCAAAACATCACTGCTCTAGAGGAGATCTGCATGGAGGAATGGGCAAAAATACCAGCAACAGTGTGTGAAAACCTTGTGAAGACTTACAGAAAACGTTTGACCTGTGCCATTGCCAACAAAGGGTTTATAACAAAGTATTGAGAAACTTTTGTTATTGACCAAATACTTATTTTCCACCATAATTTGCAAATAAATTCATAAAAAATCCTACAATGTGATTTTCTGGAAAAAAAATTCTCATTTTGTCTGTCATAGTTGACGTGTACCTATGATGAAAATTACAGGCCTCTCTCATCTTTTTAACTGGGAGAACTTGCACAATTGGTGGCTGACTAAATACTTTTTTTTCCCCACTGTATAGGCCTATCGTGCTGATATCCAACATGTGTAAATTGATGGAAAAGATTATAGTGAGTAGGATTATGTATTTCTTGGAAGTTAGGGGTTTGATGAGCGTACAGTAGCACAGAGTGGGTTCAGGAGAGGGAGGTCTGCCATGGATGACCTGGTGACAGTTAGTACAGCGATAGCCAAGGCCCTGACAATAAAAGAGGTGATGAGTGTTGTGTATTTTGACATTGAAAAAGCTTATTATACAATGTAGAGGGAAGGATTGTTGATCAAGTTGAGTGCATTGGGCATTGGGGGACATCTGTATAACTGGATCATGGACTTCATGCTCGATCGAGTCATACGGGTGAGGGTGGGGTCAGAATTGTCAATGCGGTTTGAATTGGACAATGGTACTCCTCAGGGAAGTGTGGTTAGTCCGGTGTTGTTCACCCTGATGATAGATGACATATTTAAGGAGGTGGGACAGGGAGTGGGTATGGCCTTGTATGCCAATGATGGGTCTGTATGGAAGAGAGGTGGGAATGTGAAATACAGTGGGGAAAAAAAGTATTTAGTCAGCCACCAATTGTGCAAGTTCTCCCACTTAAAAAGATGAGAGAGGCCTGTAATTTTCATCATAGGTACACGTCAACTATGACAGACAAAATGAGAAAAAAAAATCCAGAAAATCACATTGTAGGATTTTTTATGAATTTATTTGCAAATTATGGTGGAAAATAAGTATTTGGTCAATAACAAAAGTTTCTCAATACTTTGTTATAAACCCTTTGTTGGCAATGGCACAGGTCAAACGTTTTCTGTAAGTCTTCACAAGGTTTTCACACACTGTTGCTGGTATTTTTGCCCATTCCTCCATGCAGATCTCCTCTAGAGCAGTGATGTTTTGGGGCTGTCGCTGGGAAACACAGACTTTCAACTCCCTCCAAAGATTTTCTATGGGGTTGAGATCTGGAGACTGGCTAGGCCACTCCAGGACCTTGAAATGCTTCTTACGAAGCCACTCCTTCATTGCCCGGGCGGTGTGTTTGGGATCATTGTCATGCTGAAAGACCCAGCCACGTTTCATCTTCAATGCCCTTGCTGATGGAAGGAGGTTTTCACTCAAAATCTCACGATACATGGCCCCATTCATTCTTTCCTTTACACGGATCAGTCGTCCTGGTCCCTTTGCAGAAAAACAGCCCCAAAGCATGATGTTTCCACCCCCATGCTTCACAGTAGGTATGGTGTTCTTTGGATGCAACTCAGCATTCTTTGTCCTCCAAACACGACTAGTTGAGTTTTTACCAACAAGTTCTATTTTGGTTTCATCTGACCATATGACATTCTCCCAATCCTCTTCTGGATCATCCAAATGCACTCTAGCAAACTTCAGACGGGCCTGGACATGTACTGGCTTAAGCAGGGGGACACGTTTCGCACTGCAGGATTTGAGTCCCTGGCGGCGTAGTGTGTTACTGATGGTAGGCTTTGTTACTTTGGTCCCAGCTCTCTGCAGGTCATTCACTAGGTCCCCCCGTGTGGTTCTGGGATTTTTGCTCACCGTTCTTGTGATCATTTTGACCCCACGGGGTGAGATCTTGCGTGGAGCCCCAGATCGAGGGAGATTATCAGTGGTCTTGTATGTCTTCCATTTCCTAATAATTGCTCCCACAGTTGATTTCTTCAAACCAAGCTGCTTACCTATTGCAGATTCAGTCTTCCCAGCCTGGTGCAGGTCTACAATTTTGTTTCTGGTGTCCTTTGACAGCTCTTTGGTCTTGGCCATAGTGAAGTTTGGAGTGTGACTGTTTGAGGTTGTGGACAGGTGTCTTTTATACTGATAACAAGTTCAAACAGGTGCCATTAATACAGGTAACGAGTGGAGGACAGAGGAGCCTCTTAAAGAAGAAGTTACAGGTCTGTGAGAGCCAGAAATCTTGCTTATTTGTAGGTGACCAAATACTTATTTTCCACCATAATTTGCAAATAAATTCATTAAAAATCCTACAATGTGATTTTCTGGAAAAAAAAATCTCAATTTGTCTGTCATAGTTGACGTGTACCTATGATGAAAATTACAGGCCTCTCTCATCTTTTTAAGTGGGAGAACGTGCACAATTGGTGGCTGACTAAATACTTTTTTTCCCCACTCTATGTGATGAGGAAGATGCAAGAAGCTGTGGGAAGATTGGTCTCTAACATGGGGGTTTAGGATATCTGTGGCCAAGTCCTGCTTCATGGTGTTTTCTAGCAAGAAGGTTAAAGATGTTAGGGCTGCAAATATACAGTCAGGATATAGGTAGGGTGTCTGAGTTTAAGTATTTATGTATGTGGTTTGATGAGAGGCTTACGTGGACATGTTGAGTATATTGGAATTAAGTGTAGGAAGGTGCTGAACATCATGAGGGCAGTGGCAGGCAGTGGAGGCTGCTGAGGGGAGGACTGCTCATAATAATGGCTGGAACAGAGGGAATGGAATGGCATTAAACACATTTAACTATGTGTTTGTAGTATTTGATACCAATCCACTGATTCCGCTCCAGCCATTACCACGAGCCTGTCCACCCCAACTAAGGTGCCACCAACCTCCTCTGTTAGCAGGATATGATTGGGGGTCGGATAGACAAACATTATTGTATATGTACCAGTTATTGATCAGGTCATCTTTGGATTATGGGTGCTTTGTACAGTATATGGATCGGCAGCCAAAACTGTACTACAGCGCCTTGATAGGATACAGTCAAGGGCCTTGAGATTGTGTATGGGTGCCTTCAGAACGACACCTGTTGAGGCATTGCAGCTTGCAGGTGGATATTGGGGAACTGCCACTGAGGATAAGGCGGGACAAACTTGCATTAGCGTACATGGGCGAGGTTGAAATGGAGTTCAGAAGGACATCCTGTGGTCATGGCAACTGGGGAATGCTGGGAGCGAGGAGGGGGTAAGCAGAGGGCGTACGGTTGGACAATCGGGCAGAAGGTGGTAGAATATGGACTGGGGGAGAGAGAGATAGGGCCGGCAATTGCATTGGGGAACATTCTTCCGTGTCTGTTTCTGAAACCAAGTGTAGATGTGGACATGATTGAGGGCAGGAAAGAATGGGGTGAGGACGTGAGATGGTGTGTGGAGAGATATATATTGTAAAAAAAATTAAAATATATAGATAATCATTTTTATTCGTTTTTAAGGATATATACAGATGGTTCAAAGGATCCAGTCAGTGGTAGGGTGGGGGCTGGGGTGTATATTCCAGATTTCAATGTTAGAGTATGTAAGCGGTTAACTGATGTGTCAGTGTATGCGGGACTAATTAAGATAATTGTATATAGTTAGGCAGTGACTGGCCTCACACTCCAGTACAGTAGGTGGCAGTGTATAAACCTTAAAAGTTGGATGCGATCCGCTAACCCAATCCCAAAAAAGAAGAAGGCCATGTGAGTCTATGAGGCCATGGGAGATTGAGACTCCATCTGCTGGTCTTCAGATATAACTGCAAATGATGTCTTGAATGGTGTAAACTCTCTTGGACAGACGCTGATGGTGCGCGGGTCAGCTGTTTGTTCACCCAAATCAAATCAAAATCAAATCAAATGTATTGGTCATATACACATGGATAGCATATGTTATTGCGAGTGCAGCGAAACGCTTGTGCTTTTAGTTCCGACAGTGCAGCAATATCTAGCAAGTAATATCTAACAGTTCTACAACAAAAACCTAATACACACAAATCTAAGTAAATATATGGATGAGCAATGTCATTATCAGAGTAGCATAGTCTAAGATGCAATAGATAGTATAGAATACAGTATATACATATGAGATGGGTAATGCAAGATATGTAAACATTATTAAGATAGTATAGAATACAGTATATACATATGAGATGGTTAATGCAAGATATGTAAACATTAAAGTGGTATTATTAAAGTGACTATTGTTCCCTTTATTAAAGTGGCCAGTGATTTTCAAGTCTGTATGTAGGCAGCAGCCTCTCTGTACTAGTGATGGCTGTTTAACAGTCTGATGGCCTTGAGATAGAAGCTGTTTTTCAGTCTCTCGGTCACAGCTTTGATGCACCTGTACTGACCTCGCCTTCTGGATGATAGCGGGGTGAACAGGCAGTGGCTCGGGTGGTAGTTGTCCTTGATTATCTTTTTGGCCTTCCTGTGACATCGGATGCTGTAGGTGTCCTGGGGGGCGGGTAGTTTGCCCACGGTGATGCGTTGTGCAGACCGCAACACCCTCTGGAGAGCCCTGCGGTTGTGGGCGGTGCAGTTGCCGTACCAGGCGGTGATACAGCCCAACAGAATGCTCTCAATTGTGCATCTGTAAAAGTTTTAGGTGACAGACCACATTTCTTCAGCCTCCTGAGGTTGAAGAGACGCTGTTGCGCCTTCTTCACCACACTGTCTGTGTGGGTGGACCATTTCAGTTTGTCAGTGATATGTACGCATAGGAACTTAAAACTTTCCACCTTCTCCACTGCTGTCCCTAACTGCACATTCAGGCATTCTCTCAAGATGCTGAAATAAATAAATCATATTTCTCCACTCCTTTACATTTGGTGTATCAATTTACTGCAAGAAATGCTTAATTTCTACAGGAGTCAATATAAAGGCTATGTGAGAGGTTATAGACCTACAGTCAGTGTCCAGATTTCAGTTTCCATTTAACCCATCTGAACAGTAGGCTACAGTTGTATAGCTTATCACAATCATCACACATAACATTCACTGCTACCATGCTCTTTTACCACTTCACTAAATCTTTCCCGAACATTAGTTTCTGGCTCTACCTTCTCACTGTTTTCAACTCTCCATTTAGCAGCTTTCCTCTTAGGGACAGATCGAAATTTACTGGAGGTGGGGGGGACCTGGTCCAACTCCAAGAAGTCCACAAAGCATATTGCATGTACAGTAACAGACAGTTACATGTCCTACAGCATGGTCAAGCAAGATCATGTTTCCGACATTTTCGGACCACTAAACAACTATTGATTTAGAACCACAGAGAGTTACCGCAAGTCGCAAAGAAAACAGGAGCTTCCTCCACTATTCCAGCAACATTTCAATTTCAACATCATCAAATCATCTATGCTTAGTCTAATACAACTAATAGATACCAAAAACAATTTAGTCCAATCAACGTAAGCTAAATATGATGTGGCTGTCCATGATTCTGATTTCTGTGTGTGTGTGTGCATGTGCGTGTGCGTGTGCGTGTGTGTGTGTGTTTATGTGTGTGCGTGTGTGTCCGTGCAAGTAGAAAAACATGTTGACTCACCCTACTTGTAGAGAAACGCCAATGCCATCCTCCTCTATGTCATACAGTACACACTTTTATTTTTTGTTGTCCTAGGCTACCTGGCTAAAATGCTTGCTCACTAGCCTAACTTCCATTCATGGGCAACGTTAGCTAGTTAACATTAGCCTTCAACATCTAGCTACATATTGAACTTCCATCCTCTCAGGCCAGGGGCAGAACAATGTATGAATTAATGGTTGGATCAGAATCGGCGTTATAATCATTGGTCAGTACGGAGAACATGTCGGACATACGCACCACCAACACAGGCTCTCCTCAGGGATGTGTTTTGTCCCCACTCCTGTACATCTTGTACACTAATAGTTGTACTAGTTTCCATCCTGACAGACACCTCGTTAAGTTCGCTGATGACACTGCCTTGATCAGCCTGTTGCATGATGATCAGGAACACCATGGCCCTGTCCTAAATGACTTTGTAGAGTGGTGTGACGAATCACACTTGTTCCTCAATACCAACAAGACCAAAGAGATGTGCATAGACTTCAGGAAGCGTACAACACCTACCTCTGCAACATCTATCGGAGGTCAGAACATAGAGATTGTAGAGGAATACAAATACAGTGGGGAAAATAAGTATTTAGTCAGCCACCAATTGTGCAAGTTCTCCCACTTAAAAAGATGAGAGAGGCCTGTAATTTTCATCATAGGTACACGTCAACTATGACAGACAAAATGAGGAAAAAAAATCCAGAAAATCACATTGTAGGATTTTTTATGAATTTATTTGCAAATTATGGTGGAAAATAAGTATTTGGTCAATAACAAAAGTTTCTCAATACTTTGTTATATACCCTTTGTTGGCAATGACACAGGTCAAACGTTTTCTGTAAGTCTTCACAAGGTTTTCACACACTGTTGCTGGTATTTTGGCCCATTCCTCCATGCAGATCTCCTCTAGAGCAGTGATGTTTTGGGGCTGTCGCTGGGCAACACGGACTTTCAACTCCCTCCAAAGATTTTCTATGGGGTTGAGATCTGGAGACTGGCTAGGCCACTCCAGGACCTTGAAATGCTTCTTACGAAGCCACTCCTTCGTTGCCCGGGCGGTGTGTTTGGGATCATTGTCATGCTGAAAGACCCAGCCACGTTTCATCTTCAATGCCCTTGCTGATGGAAGGAGGTTTTCACTCAAAATCTCACGATACATGGCCCCATTCATTCTTTCCTTTACACGGATCAGTCGTCCTGGTCCATTTGCAGAAAAACAGCCCCAAAGCATGATGTTTCCACCCCCATACTTCACAGTAGGTATGGTGTTCTTTGGATGCAACTCAGCATTCTTTGTCCTCCAAACACGTCAAGTTAAGTTTTTACCAAAAAGTTATATTTTGGTTTCATCTGACCATATGACATTCTCCCAATCCTCTTCTGGATCATCCAAATGCACTCTAGCAAACTTCAGACGGGCCTGGACATGTACTGGCTTAAGCAGGGGGACACGTCTAGCACTGCAGGATTTGAGTCCCTGGCGGCGTAGTGTGTTACTGATGGTAGGCTTTGTTACTTTGGTCCCAGCTCTCTGCAGGTCATTCACTAGGTCCCCTCGTGTGGTTCTGGGATTTTTAGTCACCGTTCTTGTGATCATTTTGACCCCACGGGGTGAGATCTTGCGTGGAGCCCCAGATCGAGGGAGATTATCAGTGGTCTTGTATGTCTTCCATTTCCTAATAATTGCTCCCACAGTTGATTTCTTCAAACCAAGCTGCTTACCTATTGCAGATTCAGTCTTCCCAGCCTGGTGCAGGTCTACAATTTTGTTTCTGGTGTCCTTTGACAGCTCTTTGGTCTTGGCCATAGTGGAGTTTGGAGTGTGACTGTTTGAGGTTGTGGACAGGTGTCTTTTATACTGATAACAAGTTCAAACAGGTGCCATTAATACAGGTAACGAGTGGAGGACAGCGGAGCCTCTTAAAGAAGAAGTTACAGGTCTGTGAGAGCCAGAAATCTTGCTTGTTTGTAGGTGACCAAATACTTATTTTCCACCATAATTTGCAAATAAATTCATTAAAAATCCTACAATGTGATTTTCTGGAGAAAAAAAATCTCAATTTGTCTCTCATAGTTGACGTGTACCTATGATGAAAATGACAGGCCTCTCTCATCTTTTTAAGTGGGAGAACTTGCACAATTGGTGGCTGTCTAAATACTTTTTTTCCCCACTGTATATCTCAAATCATCAGTCAGGAAGTTAAACCTTGGTCGCAAATGGGTCTTGCAAATGGACAATGTCCCCAAGGATACTTCCAAAGTTGTGGCAAAATGGCTTAAGGACAACAAAGTCAAGGTATTGGAGTGGCCATCACAGAGCCCTGACCTCAATCCTATACGAAATTTGTGGGCAGAACTGAAAAAGCGTGTGCGAGCAAGGAGGCCTACAAACCTGACTCAGTTACACCAGCTCTGTCAGGAGGAATGGGACAAAATTCACCCAACTTATTGTGGGAAGCTTGTGAAAGGCTACCCGAAACATTTGACCCTAGTTAAACAATGTAAAGGCAATGCTACCAAATACTAATTGAGTGTATGTAAACTTCTGACCCACTGGGAATGTGATGAAAGAAATAAAAGCTGAAAGAAATCATTCTCTGTACTATTATTTTGACATTTCACATTCTTAAAATAAAGTGGTGATCCTAACTGACCTAAGAAAGGGAATTTTTATTAGGATTAAATGTCAGGAATTGTGAAAGACTGATTTTAAATGTATTTGGCTAAGGTGTATATAAACTTCCGACTTCAACTGTAAATAGGCTAATGTTATTTATTTTACAACATACCTACTTATAACCTATGGTAAACTAAATACAGAGAGCACAATTAAAAAGACAGATCAAATGTAATTTAGCCAATTAAAAAATGTCTTAACAGAATTACACAAAACAGGTTTTGCATATTAAAAGAACTGGTTTCGATTAATAAATAGGCTTACAATAATAAAACCATGATATACAATAATAATAATGAAAAAACAAATGATTATAAACAAATAAATGGATTCCTACCTGAATAGGGAGTTGAATAGTCGCCTGCATTATTCTCATCTTAGTCCACTACATTATTAAAATGTGTGTAGGCTTTTCACTATAGGCATACACTTTGTCCTCTAACTTTTGTTTTACTTAAAGAAAAAGGCCTCCTCTTCGCAATCAACAGCAGCCTAGGCCAAGGCTCCTCTGTTGCTCTCTCTCTCCTCAGCAGCAGGCACAAGGGCTAGCAAGGTGTGAGAGAATGTTGCTGAAGCATGAATTGGTGGTGTAGGCGACAGCCTCTGCTGGACTATATGGCCTGCTACAATTCTATTTATCTTTAAAAATATATATATTGGTCAAATGCCATCAATTATCAGCTAAGAGAAACCCTGGAGCATTTTCCCATCAGAGTTTTGTTTCCATCAAATTGACTTTTTGCAGTTAAAAGTATGTGTGTAAATATATAGTGCACATAAAAATACCTTTTGAGGTTACATTTCCATGTACCAAATAAAAAATACAAGTTAAATGTGTTTCCCTCGCATTTTCAACTCTAGGTTTACTGATGGTTTAGTCACAAAAGAAATTGGTAACATAGCCGCGGGAAGTAGTTTGGCGATGGGGGTGCAGCGATTTTGCCGAGATGCCGGGTTGTTGCGATTTTGCCAGAGCAACTTACAGTAGTGAGTGGATACATTTTCATACTTTTTCGTACTGGTCCCCCGTTGGAATCGAACCCACAACCAATGTTCCCTCTAATTATTTTAGTCATTGAGCAAATTTCAGGTCTGCTGAGCACAAACTTGAATGTTGGGAAAATTCTGTGCAACTTCCGGCGCGCGTTTACTGTGAACCCTGAGGATGTACCCGCTTTAAGTTACTGTAGGCTACTGTGGCTATTTGATCATAATGTAGGCCTACCACAGTGGCCTACTATCAAAAACAATGGAGAAAAATGCATCCCATAACATTTTAACATAGAAATAGCTGTTCTATCATTCAGCCTGCAGTAGCAGCCAATGTGTGGTGTTCAATGTAGGCCTACATTCCATGAGACTTTTGAAAAAAACATGCAGGGTTTGACATTAACCTGTTTATCCACTTCAGACAAGGTGACTGAAAATGTTGTCTTGTTTGATGCAAGAAACCACTTTACAAAATACAATTCATTATTATTCCCATACCATTATTACAGAGAATCAGACAAATTATGCTACTCTGTGCCTATTGGCTACTTAGCGTATTCAAGACCTTCTCAAAATACAACACTGCCCCTTTAAGACATACAAAAAGCTCTTTACCTGACTGGCTTTTCAAAGATGGCAAGAAATGTTGTGCTCTTGTAGGAAGCAACCACTCCTACATTGTTGACCAGAAATGATCTATAACTAGGCTAATAACTCACTAACTACCAAAGAATATGAACAAATGTGCACACGTGGCTACATGCAGCTCTTGCTTTGATCTCAAAACAAGCACATCTACTCGTGACCGCTCATACTGTAGCCTAAACACAGACCAGACAGGCCTGAGTCATGCTTGTCAATGCAATAGAATCCTACTCCAATGCGCTCTACCTACAAGAAAATCTATTGGACAGTTAGTTTTGCATACTAATCCTTGCATAGTTCGTTTTGTTTCAGTATGTTACATTGAAAGTGGCTAATATTGTGTTGATTCAATCACAATTCCCACAGTAGAGCGAAATGTTAATAGTTTTAACTAAAGGGGAAAACACTATAGAAAGTTGAGTGAAGTTCAATCTTGTGCTTCTCTGCACGGGCTGATATTTCTTCTGTGCACAGTTTAGAGGGAACATTGCCCACAACCCTAGCATTGCAAGTGCCATGCTCTACCAACTGAGCCACATCATCACATCACATCTTCACAAACCACTTAATGTCTCAATGTACTCAATTACTGTATTGTGCATTGTTTTTCTACATGGTGATGCAGATACAAACCTAGATGACCATCCTATGTACAATACATTTACCATCCTATGTACAATACATTTACATTAAGTGGTTTGTAAGGATGGTAAATTAATACCGCACAAAAAGTTTTTTCTTTCTGTTATTTTTTTTCTTTCTGGATTCAATCGCAGAGAAAGTGACAGGGCAACAACTCTTCCAATACCTTTTTTGCCAAAGCAGAGATCCTGATTCTTTTTTCTTTTTAAATTATTATTATTTGTATTTGTTTTCAGCTTTTTCGGGGGGAGCTGCAGATCCCCTACTTCCTGCGGCTACGGTTCGTAGGCTATAATCTGCCCACTCTGGTATTGGCTAGTGGGCTCTAACCTACTACATGATGAGATTAATATGGACAAAAGTGTGAGATTATATTTATTTGTCAAATGGCAGCCAAGCATCGATCATGTCACCAGAATAAGAACCTCGATATTTACAGTGAGGGAATTAAGTATTTGATCCCCTGCTGATTTTGTACGTTTGCCCACTGACAAAGAAATGATCAGTCTATAAGTTTAATGGTAGGTTTATTTGAACAGTGAGAGACAGAATAACAACAACAAAATCCAGAAAAACGCATGTCAAAAATGTTATAAATTTATTTGCATTTTAATGAGGGAAATAAGTATTTGACCCCTCTGCAAAACATGACTTAGTACTTGGTGGCAAAACCCTTGATGGCAATCACAGAGGTCAGACGTTTCTTGTAGTTGGATACCAGGTTTACACACATCTCAGGAGGGATTTTGTCCTACTCCTCTTTGCAGATCTTCTCCAAGTCATTAAGGTTTCGAGGCTGACGTTTGGCAACTCGAACCTTCAGCTCCCTCCACAGATTTTCTATTGGATTAAGGTCTGTAGACTGGCTAGGCCACTCCAGGACCTTAATGTGCTTCTTCTTGAGCCACTCCTTTGTTGCCTTGGCCGTGTGTTTTGGGTCATTGTCATGCTGGAATACCCATCCACAACCCATTTTCAATGCCCTGGCTGAGGGAAGGAGGTTCTCACCCAAGATTTGACGGTACATGGCCCTGTCCATCGTCCCTTTGATGCGGTGAAGTTGTCCTGTCCCCTTAGCAGAAAAACACCCCCAAAGCATAATGTTTCCACCTCCATGTTTGACGGTGGGGATGGTGTTCTTGTGGTCATAGGCAGCATTCCTCCTCCTCCAAACACGGCGAGTTGAGTTGATGCCAAAGAGCTCGATTTTGGTCTCATCTGACCACAACACTTTCACCCAGTTCTCCTCTGAATCATTCAGATGTTCATTGTCAAACTTCAGACGGGCCTGTATATGTCCTTTCTTGAGCAAGGGGACCTTGCAGGCGCTGCAGGATTTCAGTCCTTCACAGCGTAGTGTGTTACCAATTGTTTTCTTGGTGACTATGGTCCCAGCTGCCTTGAGATCATTGACAAGATCCTCCCGTGTAGTTCTGGGCTGATTACTCACCGTTCTCATGATCATTGCAATTCCACGAGGTGAGATCTTGCATGGAGCCCAGGGCCGAGTGAGATTGACAGGTCTTTTGTGTTTCTTCCATTTGCGAATAATCACACCAACTGTTGTCACCTTTTCACCAAGCTGCCTTTTGTAGGTCTACAATCTTGTCCCTGACATCCTTGGAGAGCTCTTTGGTCTTGGCCATGGTGGAGAGTTTGGAATCTGATTGATTGATTGCTTCTGTGGACAGGTGTCTTTTATACAGGTAACAAACTGAGATTAGGAGCACTCCCTTTAAGACTGTGCTCCTAATGTCAGCTCGTTACCTGTATAAAAGACACCTGGGAGCCAGAAATCTTACACAATGTATAATCTCGGAAACCCAGAACTAAAATATTGCGTAATTGCATCAGATGCTCGATTTTCTGGGGGCAGATGTGTTAGAAAAGGTACTAGAGCAAGTGGAATCAGGTCTGTAGCTTCACCCCCTCTCTTTGCAATTTGTGGCAGGTCTATGGGCCAAATGTCCCCTCTACCCCCCTTGCAAAATTCCCAAGATGCAAGCACCTGCGAAATCGCTGAATAAAAAGAACACAATACATTTACAAAATCCATAAATGTATAATTATTGTGAAATGTATATCTATAGGCTACATTGGGGATTTTCTTTCATAATTTTTTTAAATATCTGGCATTAGCGTGTAAGTCTACACTTTAGGGTCTAACTGTAAACACGCCGAATAGCCTACACGCCAATCGCCAAAATGCTTTTGGGAACGGGCAGAAAAAGTCAGGACAATAACCAGATTTCCTTCCAACCTTTTTATGCTAGTACAGTAGCATACATGTCGGATGAAAAATGTAATGACAGGCCTGATGGAAACAGGTAGGCTAAACTTTCCAAATGTCGACAAAACAAAATACTCTAGACAAGGTGGGATCTTTTTGTGTCGGTAAAATAAATTATGTGACAAATGTTGGTGGAAACGCTTGTATGCGCAAATATTGATATACTGTAATAACCATCAAGTCGAAGTAAACTTGGAGTCACGTGATGACATGTTGTGTGGTCCTCCCACTACCACTCGTCGGGAAAGCATGCAGTTTACAGTTTACTACAGATTAAATAATTAATTATGATGAACTTCACAGGGTGGTGAAAGTGCACAGTGATGAGGGTGACGCTCCTTTCAATAAAAAGGCCACAGGTCAGGAGGAACAGGCAGGGAATGGTAAAGTTGCACAATACACTAGATGGCGCTATATTTTTACTGTCATACATTAGTCCCTTTCATCTTCCTGTCCAGTGTGTCACAGTTTCCAATATGGCGGCATCCATAGCCGGGTATTTTTCACGTGTATCGTGGCATGGTTCTTGTATTATTTTGAAAAACACACTCCCATGTATAACGTTAAGATACAGGTTTAATCGCTCTGCAACAACCCAAAGTGGACTTCTTTTTTCTCTAAATAAACGGGGCATTTTGAAGGACGCTTTCCCCGAAAACGCAGCCCAAGATCAACTTCCTCAACTGCTGCAGTCTGGGTGCCAGACCGTGTACTGCGGATTCGACCCCACGGCAGACAGCCTTCACGTGGGTAATTTACTCGCCATCATCGGGCTATTGCATTTTCGAAGCGCAGGACATAATGTCATCGCTCTAATCGGTGGTGCAACAGCACAGATAGGGGACCCAAGCGGGAAAACGAGCGAGAGAGAGCAGCTACCCTCTGATGTATTGGAGGACAATACACGGGCTATCAGGGAGAGCTTGCAGCGAATCTTCACCAACCATGAACTGAATTTCCACAACGACTCTAAAAAGCTTGGCACTGTAACCCTATTGAATAATTTAGCTTGGTACAAAGACTGGAATGTGGTTGCTTTTCTGTCAGAAGTTGGCAGACGTTTCCGAATGGGGACCCTGCTCAGTAGGCACAGTGTCCAGTCCAGGTTGAAGAGTGCAGAGGGCATGAGCCTAACTGAGTTCTCCTACCAGCTGTTTCAAGCCTATGACTTCTACCACCTGAACCAGAATCACAGCTGTAAGATCCAGCTGGGAGGGACAGACCAACTGGGCAACCTGATGTCTGGGCATGAGTTCATACACAAGTAATGTTGCATCAGATTCATTGGACACACACACACACACAGAGAGACATTTGCAAATGAATTGACCAATTATCACATTGATTCCAGATATTGTAGCCTAGCATCTGCATGATGCATCAGACACCAGAGTGATGCTTCAAGGCCATAAATAGCCTATAGTAATAAACATGCAATAACACACACTTGCCTCAACATTAACTGACCAGTGATGGTCTCTTTAATATCCATTATATCAATTTCTCTGTGACAGGGTGACTGGACAGGACGTGTATGGGCTGACCATCCCACTAGTGACCAGCTCTGCGGGGGACAAGCTGGGGAAGACAGCAGGCAATGCAGTGTGGCTGAACAGGGACAAGACGTCTCCGTTTGACCTCTATCAGTTCTTCCTCAGGCAGCCTGACAGCAGTGTGGAATGGTAGGTGGCTGGAGACTGAGACCCCAATAGAACTGGACCCACTTATCAGAGCATTCTATTTAGGCTTATATTCATTCTCGTATAATTTGATGGTTTGTTTGTATAGACTAGGTCCACTTGGCTAAACCTGAGTTTGTGAAACCGGCCTTGGGCAGTATTGAAGCGTCTCAGAGTAGGAGTGTTGATCTTGGATAAAGTCCCCGCTCTATGATTTAAAAGGCGAAACTAGATCAGCACACCTACTCTGAGACACTTTGTGAACATGGGACCTGATAGTATTAGCACCTGAGTGTAGCCTATGTATGGTGATGTTGGAGACTGAGTCAGTGTTGATTGATTGTGCTACCTGCAGGTATCTGAAGCTATTCACCTTCCTACCCCTGGCCGAGGTGGAGAGGGTGATGGAGCAGCAGAGACAGGAGCCAGGCAAACGGCCCGCACACAAACGCCTCGCTGCCGAAATCACCAAACTGGTCCACGGCAAGGAGGGTCTGGAGAGTGCCAAAAGGTGAGGAGTGTGTGCGTGTGTCCGTGTGTGTTGTATGAGTGCACATGTGTATAGGTCATTTGGGTGTCATTAATGAGGTCTCGCTTGGCACTATTAATAATGCTATGTGCATGTGTGTATGTGTTCCTCTCCAGGTGCACCAATGCCCTGTACCACTGTAACATACAGGCCCTGGAGCAGATGAGCGATGCTGAGCTGCAGGAGCTTTTCAGAGAGGCCCCCTTCCATGAGCTGCTGCTGGAGCCAGGGACCACAGTACTGGATGCCTGCCGCAGGGCAGAGGCCATACCCCAGGGGGCCAAAGGGTAGGGCTCCCCCTTTACGTTCCTCTGTTCGTTATACCTGACCCGACAACCTCACATGGAGGGTCGCTCACTCTATGTTTCACCTACTTCCACCCAAATGGCTTTTGCACGCTATCTCTCTTGTTCTCTATTTATTTTTTCCTTTAACACTAGGACCGCCTTTCAGCCTGTAAGAATGTTGAGAACATTGCCAGGCATCCCCTTTAGCATACGCATCAGATGCATATCAACCCGCAAGGCGTACAGAGGCCCATTATCAGCAACCATCAGTCCTGTGTTCCAATGGCACGTTGTGTTTGCTAATCCAAGTTTATCATTTTAAAAGGCTAATTGATCATTTATGTTAGCACAGCTGAAAACTGTTGTGCTGATTAAAGAACCAATAAAACTGGCCTTCTTGAGACTAGTTGAGTATCTGGAGCATCAGCAATTGTGGGTTCGATTACAGGCTCAAAATGGCCAGAAACAAAGAACTTTCTTCTGAAACTCGTCAATCTATTCTTGTTCTGAGAAATGAAGGCTATTCCATGCGAGAAATTGCCAAGAAACTGAAGGTCTCGTACAACGCTGTGTACTACTCCCTTCACATAACAGCGCAAACTGGCTCTAACCAGAATATAAAAAATAGTGGAAGGCCCCGGTGCACAACTGAGCAAGAGGACAAATACATTAGTGTCTAGTTTGAGAAACAGACGCCTCACAGGTCCTCAACTGGCAGCTTCATTAAATAGTACCCGCAAAACACCAGTCTCAACGTCAACAGTGAAGAGGCGACTCCGGGATGCTGACCTTCTAGGCAGAGTTGCAAAGAAAAAGCCATATCTCAGAATGGCCAATAAAAAGAAAAGATTAAGATGGGCAAAAGAACACAAACACTGGACAGAGGAAGATTGGAAAAAAGTGTTATGGACAGACAAATCGAAGTTTGAGGTGTTCACATCAAAAATAAGAACATTTGTGAGACGCAGACCAAATGAAAAGATGCTGGAGGAGTGCTTGATGCCATCTGTCAAGTATGGTGGAGGCAATGTGATGGTCTGGGGGTGCTTTGGTGGTGGTAAAGTGGGAGATTTGTACAGGGTAAAAGGGATCTTGAAGAAGGAAGGCTATCACTCCATTTTGCAACGCCATGCCATAACCTGTGGACGGCACTTGATTGGAGCCAATTTCCTCCTACAACAGGACAATGACCCAAAGCACAGCTCCAAACTATGCAATAACTATTTAGGGAAGAAGCAGTCAGCTGGTATTCTGTCTATAATGGAGTGGCCAGCACAGTCACCGGATCTCAACCCTATTGAGCTGTTGTGGACAGCAGCTTGACCGTATGATACTTAAGAAGTGCCCATCAAGCAATCAAACTTGTGGGAGGTGCTTCAGGAAGCATGGGGTGAAATCTCTTCAGATTACCTCAACAAATTGACAACTAGATTGCCAAAAGGTCTGCAAGGCTGTAATTGCTGCAAATGGAGGATTCTTTGACGAAAGACACAATTATTATTTCAATTAAAAATCATTATTTCTAACCTTGTCAATGACTACATTTCCTATTCATTTTGCTATATTTCCTATTCAAACTCATTTCATGTATGTTTTCATGGAAAACGAGGACATTTCTAAGTGACCCCAAACTTTTGAATGGTAGTGTATACTGAACAAAAATATAAATGCAACATGCAACAATTTCAACGATTTTACTGAGTTACAGTTCATAAATGGATTTCACATGACTAGGCAGGGTGGACCTGGGCGGGCATCAAATCAAATCAAATCAAATTGTATTGGCCACATACGCCGAATACAACAGGTGCAGACATTACAGTGAAATGCTTACTTACAGCCCTTAACCAACAGTGCATTTATTTTTAATAAAAAAAAGTAGAATAAAACAACAAAAAAGTGTTGAGAAAAAAAGAGCAGAAGTAAAATAAAATAACAGTAGGGAGGCTATATATACAGGGGGGTACCAGTGCAGAGTCAATGTGCGGGGGCACCGGCTAGTTGAGGTAGTTGAAGTAATATGTACATGTGGGTAGAGTTAAAGTGACTGCATAAATAATGAACAGAGTAGCAGCAGTGTAAAAAGATGGGGTAGGGGGGGCAGTGCAAATAGTCCGGGTAGCCATGATTAGGTGTTCAGGAGTCTTATGGCTTGGGGGTAGAAGCTGTTGAGAAGTCTTTTGGACCTAGACTTGGCACTCCGGTACCGCTTGCCGTGCGGTAGCAGAGAGAACAGTCTATGACTAGGGTGGCTGGAGTCTTTGACAATTTTGAGGGCCTTCCTCTGACACCGCCTATAGAGGTCCTGGATGGCAGGAAGCTTGGCACCAGTGATGTACTGGGCCGTACGCACTACCCTCTGTAGTGCCTTGCGGTCGGAGGCCAAGCAGTTGCCATACCAGGCGGTGATGCAACCAGTCAGGATGCTCTCGATGGTGCAGCTGTAGAATCTTATTGAGGATATGAGGACCCATGCCAAATCTTTTCAGTCTCCTGAGGGGGAATAGGCTTTGTTGTGCCCTCTTCACGACTGTCTTGGTGTGTTTGGACCATGATAGTTTGTTGGTGATGTGGACACCAAGGAACTTGAAGCTCTCAACCTGTTCCACCACAGCCCCGTCGATGAGAATGGGGGCGTGCTCAGTCCTCTTTTTTTTTCTCCTGTAGTCCACAATCATCTCCTTTGTCTTGGTCACGTTGAGGGAGAGGTTGTTATCCTGGCACCATACGGCCAGGTCTCTGACCTCCTCCCTATAGGCTGTCTCATCGTTGTCGGTGATCAGGCCTACCACTGTTGTGTCGTCGGCAAACTTAATGATGGTGTTGGAGTCGTGCCTGGCCATGCAGTCATGGGTGAACAGGGAGTACAGGAGGGGACTGAGCACGCACCCCTGAGGGGCCCCCGTGTTGAGGATCAGTGTGGCAGATGTGTTGTTACCTACCCTTACCACCTGGGGGCGGCCCGTCAGGAAGTCCAGGATCCAGTTGCAGAGGGCGGTGTTTAGTCCCAGGATCCTTAGCTTAGTGATGAGCTTTGAGGGCACTATGGTGTTGAATGCTGAGCTGTAGTCAATGAATAGCATTCTCACGTAGGTGTTCCTCTTGTCCAGGTGGGAAAGGGCAGTGTGGAGTGCAATAGAGATTGCATCATCTGTGGATCTGTTGGGGCGGTATGCAAATTGGAGTGGGTCTAGGGTTTCTGGGATAATGGTGTTGATGTGAGCCATGACCAGCCTTTCAAAGCACTTCATGGCTACAGACGTCAGTGATACGGGTCGGTAGTCATTTAGGCAGGTTATCTTAGAGTCCTTGGGCACGGGGACTATGGTGGTCTGCTTGAAACATGTTGGTATTACAGACTCAGTCAGGGACATGTTGAAAATGTCAGTGAAGACACTTGCCAGTTGGTCAGCACATGCTCGGAGTACACATCCTGGTAATCCATCTGGCCCTGCAGCCTTGTGAATGTTGACCTGCTTAAAAGTCTTACTCACATCGGCTACGGAGAGCGTGATCACATAGTCATCCGGAACAGCTGGTGCTCTCATGCATGCTTCAGTGTTGCTTGCCCACCAACTTGGGAGACAGGCCCAGCCAATCAGAATGAGTATTTCTCCACAAAAAGGCTTTATTACAGACAGAAATACTCCTCAGTTTCATCAGCTGTCCGGGTGGCTGGTCTCAGACGATCCCACAAAAAAATTGTCAAAGACTCCAGCCACCCTAGTCATAGACTGTTCTCTCTGCTACCGCACGGCAAGCGGTACCGGAGCGCCAAGTCTATGTCCAAAAGGCTTCTTAACAGCTTCTACCCCCAAGCCATAAGACTCCTGAACAGCTAATCAAATGGCTGCCCAGACTATTTGCATTGTTCCCCCACCCCCTCTTTTACGCTGCTGCTACTCTCTGTTTATTATCTATGCATAGTCACTTTAACTCTACCTACATGTACATATTACCTCAATTACCTCGACTAACCTGTGCCCCCGCACATTGACTCTGTACCGGTACCCCCTGTATATAGCCTCGCTACTGTTATTTTACTGCTGCTCTTTAATTATTTGTTATTTTGATTTTTTTAGTTATCTATTTTTTACTTAACACTTATTTTTCTTAAAACTGCATTGTTGGTTAAGGGCTTGTAAGTAAGCATTTCACCTGTTGTATTCGGCGCATGTGACAAATACAATTTGATTTGATTTGAGGTGAAGAAGCTGGATATCGAGGTCCTGGGCTGGCGTGGTTACACGTGGTGTGCGGTTGTGAGGCCGATTGGACGTACTGCCAAGTTCTCTAAAACGATGTTGGAGGCGACTTATGGTAGAGAAATGAACATTCAATTCTCTGGCAACAGCTCTAGTGGACATTCCTGCAGTCAGCATGCCAATTGCACACTCCCTCAACTTGAGACATCTGTGGCATTGTGTTGTGTGGACAAAACTGCACATTTTAGAGTGGCCTTTTATTGTCCCCAGCACAAGGTGCACCTGTGTAATGATCATGCTGTTTAATCAGCTTCTTGATATGCCACACCTGTCAGGGGGATGGATTATCTTGACAAAGGAGAAATGCTCACTAACAGGGATGTAAACTAATTTGTGCACAGAATTGGAGAGAAATAAGCTTTTTGTGCGTATGGAAAATTTCTGGGATCTTTTTTTTTTTAACTCATTAAACATGGGAACTTTACATGTTGCATTTATATTTTTGTTCAGTATAGAAATCAAAACGTTTTACCTGCATGTGACTCTGAAGGACGATTTGATAAAGTGATGCTCCTTTCCCTGCATCTGTCAAATCCAAGCTGCGCCCATCTCTACATTTTGACAACTGATAATATTGTCACTCATCAGACTATTGTCAATTTAATCTTGTCTTTAGGATAACTTTTATTATGTGTGGAAGTAGTTTTGGTATAGTTTAGGTGTAGTTTCGTTGGCCGGCTGCGAAAGCTGACAGGTATCGTTTGTTTCCCCATCAACTTGGATAGAGTCAAGGATATGTTTTGCATTATTCTAAAGGGCTACTGCAACACGCAGCATGTTTTAGTTTCATCTTCCGTAACATCTTCGTAAAGAGAATGGTATCAACCTGCAGTCAAATGATTAACATGAGCCCCAACGCTGATAAATAGACATAACACAAGCTCTTCATTACACTATTGTTGTTCTAAATTAAATCAACCTCTTCACCCTCCTTATCATTCAGTTAGGCCTCACTTAAATTTGATTGTGAAGTAACGTGCATCGGGCTGTGGCGGTCATAAAATTCTGTCAGCCGGTTATTGTCATGCAAATCTCACGGTAATTGACCATTAATGAACATAAACATCTTTAGCATCTCCAGGCCTCCGCATACAAGTTGCTGATGCGTGCCTTTGGAACGTCTGCATTTAAAATGTCTAATAAATCAGTTTAATATACACCATCAATATAAATCCATTATTCATTTTAGGCAGCTTTAAAGAAACATTATAATATGAAGAAAATGTACACTGTAGGACCAAAAGTATGTGGACACCTGCTTGTCGAACATCTTATTCCAAAATCCCCTTTTGCTGCTATAACAGCCTCCTCTCTTCTGGGAAGGCTTTCCACTACATGTTGAAACATTGCTGCGGGGACTTGCTTCCATTCAGCCATAAGAGCATTAGTGAGGTCGGGCACTGATGTTGGGCGATTAGGCCTGGCTCGCAGTTGCCGTTCCAATTCATCCCAAAGGTATTCGATGGGGTTCAAGTCAGGTCTTTGTGCAGGCCAGTCAAGTTTTTCCACACCGATCTCGACAAACCATTTCTGTATGGACCTCGCTTTGTGCACAGGGGCATTGGCATGCTGAAACAGGAAAGTGCCTTCCCCAAACTGTTGCCACAAAGTTGGAAGCACAGAATCATCTAGAATGTCATTGTATGCTGTAGCGTTAAGATTTCCCTTCACTGGAACTAAGGGGCCTAGCTACTACGCGCTTCAGCACTCGGCGGTCCCGTTCTGTGAGCTTGTGTGGCCTACCACTTCGCGGCTGAGCCGTTGTTGCTCCTAGACGTTTCCACTTCATAATAACAGCACTTACAGTTGACCAAGGCAGCTCTAGCAGGGTAGAAATTTGACTTGTTGGAAAGGTGGCATCCAAGGATGGTGCCACGTTGAAAGTTACTGAGCTGTTCTGTAAGCCCATTCTACTGCCAAAGATTGTCTATGGAGATTGCATGGTGGTGTGCTCGATTTTATACACCTGTCAGCAACAGGTGTGGCTGAAATGGCTGAATCCACTAATTTGAAGGGGTGCCCACATACTTTTGTATATATAGTGTATGTTTTGCATTATTCTAAAGGCCTATGCAACACATAGCATGTTTTCGTTTCCCTTACAATAAATGTGATTATTTATAATAAATAAAACAGTCCAGTAAGTAACAGCTTCTAATATACAAAGTAAAACCTAAAAGATAATGATATCAGCCCGCAAGTCGCATGGTCAAATGATTTGCTATAAACATGAGCGCCAACGCTGATAAATAGGCATAACACAAACTCATCATTACACTGTTGTTCTAAATGTAATCAACCTCTTCACCCTCCTTATCATTCAGTTAGTCCGAATTTAAATTAAATTGTGAAGTAACGTGCACAATTATTGCCCATTCATCCATTTGTCATTCATTCAGTGAGGAGAGAGAGGCACATTAGCGCTTGGCTGGGTACCAATGTCCTACAACCCATTGTCTTGGTGGGTTAAGTTGGGAATAGGTGTGGGGGGGAAATTGTAAAAAGGCTCTAAATACTTTTCTGTTTGTGATTTAAAAATTCTGACAAGTGAGCGATGTAAAATACAAACATTTAACAAAAGTCAGGGAAGGAGCAGGACTTTTTTTGGGGGGGTCGATTTTAATTTGATTTACAAAATGAAATGTCAGTGGCCGTTGCTTTCTGTGTTTGTTTCTCTCTCACTCCCTCTATTTCTCTCAAATTCTTCATTTTTTTGTCTGTCTGGCTTTCAAACGGTGTTAACTGACTATTTCTGTGTTGTGTTGTGATGTGCTGCAGGTATCGCATGGTATCAGAAGGAGCTGTATGGATCAACCACAGTAAGACAGACTGCCCAGAGCAGGTACTGATCCCTGGCCAGCACATCCTGGCCAACGGACTTTCTCTCCTCAGAGTGGGCAAGAAGAACTTCCACATCATCAAGTGGCTGAATCTGTGAGTGGCACTGGGACCTTAGAACTCCTATGGACTGTTTGTGGACTGGAGGTAGGACCGCAAGCTGGGAGGCTTAGGTGAAGGGAGATGGATATTGGAAATGGACCTGTATTGTTTCAATACATCCCTGTTTGTGTCTGAGGGAATGTAGTGCACTATATATGTGTGGATTGAATGATACTGTAAGATATGGTATTAAATATATTTTTCTTGTTAGTTGTATGTAAACAGTTTTATTTTTGTGATTATTAGATAGCAAATTTGCCTAGTATTGAATTTCACCATTAGGGGTCAGTATCGTCTTGTCTTTAAATGAGGATCAGGAAAAGCCTCCTGGAGCAAGCCTGAAGCAAAGCTTGGTTGTAAGACCCTAGTTACATCCAGGAATTAAAATTCAATGGCAAAAATATCTGACAGCTAAAATAAATGATCATTTGAAATGAAATAAAATGACAATAGGAATAGGGAACTAGAGAAGTACATTTCCTGAAGAAAATGTGTGCTTGCTAGCTTGTTTTAAAGTATTTATGGTTTTGAAATAAGTTATAGTAGTGGTACTGACTAGTGTTGCGCGGGTCATCTGTTTGTTCACCCGCCCGCAATTGCTAATAACCCATCCACAACCACCAACCAAATGTGTTAAAGTGGAAATATAGAAAATGCGCTATAGGCTACAGTCAAAGACAGCAGAATGATTTCTTGACGGGGTGCTGATTTTTTTTCTTCCTGATTTAGATATATTTCTGCTTATAATTTCTGACATATTGGAAGGCTATTTGTTAGTCAACTTGTCTATTATTAGATACATGTAGCTTATCTTCTGTCATTATATGTTGCCTTAGAAGAGTAAGTAAACCCTTGCTCAACAGAATAATGTAATAGATCGCTAGAATGAATGCTTCAATCTAGTTGACATTGGTAAAGTTTTCTCTGTCATCTTTCGCGGAGCAAAGACGTTTAGGGAATGGGGAGAAAATACAATAATGCAAAAAAAAGATTTTCTGTGCAAAATGTCCAAATGACATCAGTTTGTCCGGTTGTAAGGAAAAAGAAAGCTGTGAAAATGACCCAAAGTGTTTCTGATAATATTTCAGTTCGGCTTCGATTAATATTTTATGTGGTTGAAATACTATCAGCTTTTATGTTGCTTTTATGATGAAGAAGACATCACCTCTACAGATGGTATCTAACTGAGCATTGCATTCTATCAAGATGCAGAAATAAATAAATCATATTTCTCCACTCCTGTTCCCAAGTCCAAATTTAGCCTACATTTGGTGTATAATTTTACTGCAAGAAATGCTTAATTCTGCAGGAGTTATTATTAAAGCTATGTGAGAGGTTATAGAGCTAGAGTCAGTGTCCAGATTTATGTTTCCATTTAACCCATCTAAACAGTAGGCTACAGTTCCCTTGACATGCCATAGGCCTATTTGAAGTCGCGTCTTGTGACTGTCAAATTTGTATAGTGCCTCATAATCATCACACATAACATCCTCTTTTACCACTTCACCAAATCTTTTCCAAACATTTCTTTTCTGGCCCTCCCTTCTCTTTATTTTCAACTCTCCTTTCACAGCTTTTGTCTTTTTGAATAAAACTTCGACAATGTAATTTTTGCCTCCATGGATTGACATTCCGTTTTTCTGCCCGTTCCCAAAAGCATTATTTGGCGATTGGCTGTGTAGGCTATTTGGCGCGCGTACAGTTAACCCCTAAAGCTTAGGTTTATGCACTAATACCAGATAGCCTAAAATAATGAAAGAAAAACCTCAATGTAAGCTATATATATTGCAGTAAGAATTATACATTATTGTTTCTCTTTGTTCAACCCGTCCACCACGCACCCACCCTTCAGCCACACAATATTTAGTGACCCAAAACCCGTCCGCCCCACGGGTATAACCGCGGGGCCTGCGGGTTATGAGTCAACCCGCGCATCACTAGTAGTGAGTCCAGTCGTAATGGTGGTGACTGGTTATAGTTGGAAAAGTAGGTAGATGGAAAGATTGGCTGATTGATTGAATGGATAGCCTGAACATGGTGTCTCTAGCTTGAACGGTTCAATAGCTACTCAGTGTTTCACCTAAGATGTCTTTCAGCAGCGGTGGCAGGGTTAGCGGGGTGGGGGGGTGCATATAGGCAGAACACAGTCTTCGTGGTTGGGGTATTTTTTTTATTTGGTTGTTATTCAAATAAGCTGTTACCGCGTTTCAACACACATGCTTTCTGTTTCATAATTGTAACAAAGGCACTCCATGAATAAAATTGATTGAACACTTGAATGTTGGTGTTTTTTGTGGGGTTTTAGTTTTTACATATAGCCTACAGTAACATAAACTAATGAAAATGTTAAATAAATAAAATTAAAAAATCGTATTCTAATGTTACCTAAGACCTTCATAAACACAACCAAAGTATTATTTTTGCAATAGCATATATGACCTTTATTAATTACACTGTTAGAATGTTGCAGTCAGAATGACTTCTCATTAGCTTGAAGGGGGGTCCCTCGAGACCCAGCGGTTCTAGTGTTAAATGGTTCAGGAGGAGTTGCGCTGCCAAAGTTTCCCTATGTAAGTCTTTAGCCCTTTTATTGCCATTGAAGTGCATTAGGAGCTCATTTAAATATTGTTGTAGTACAAAAAGTATAGATTCTATCAAAAATATGTAATAATTTATCTAGCAATCAAAGTTGGGGTGGTCTGCCCGTTTGAAAGTTGGTTTCGTGTTTATAGCTTATACGGTTATAGAATTTATGCAAATGTAAACTGATTTAAAGGATGGAGGAATCAAATAATTTATGAATCTATGAAGCGTTTCCATCATCCTGAAGTTGGTTTGGAGTTTCTAGCTTGAATGGTTAGAAAGCAGTGGCACTGTGAATACTGTATCTACCTCTCATGGTCACCATTGACTCTAATGTTAATATTGCACATTTTAAATCGTTATAGTTCAAAAAGTGTAAATGGCATCAAAAAGCCTTTGACATGCAATCTAAGTAAGGTCAGTCTGAACATCTCAATGTTGTTCTGGTGTTGATAGCTTAAACGGTTCAAGAAGAGATGTGCGGCCAAATTGTATCATTTTTAACATTGAAGTCTATGGTCATTTGATTCCCATTGAAATGCATGGGAAAATATTTTCTCAAGCAATGTAAGTTGGGGCCGTCTGCACATTTGAAAGTTGGTTTCTTGTTAATATCTTAAATTGTTTCAGTTCTAAAGCGGGCAGAAGAAATGTAATAAGTAGAAGAATTATGTAAGAAATCTAGTGTCTTGCTTTCAGCATGCACACTAATTAAAAACAAGTGTATGTTTGTCACATTTTGATATGGGTAAAAAAAATAGTATACACTCTTACTGCAAAGTCTGTTTCTATTGCAGATGGCAAAGGAGTTATTGGAATGTATTTAAGTAGTGTTTCATTGATGGTTTGATAATTATTTCTAAATTGTCTCATTTACATATACTGCAGAAAATATTGTTTTCCCAATGAGATATGCTTTCCACTACTCTTATACCTATCCCCTTTGACCTTGACCTAGCTCAGATAAGTAAATATTCTCATCTAAATCATGGAGAGAAATAACAAGTCACTGCCATGTAAAATAATTAAAATGTTCCGATTTTATTTTATTTTTTAGAATGATTGACAGATGCATGACAATGGAAGTTTACCTACCCCAAGCAACACGTTGCTTCACACTGACATGTGTATTTTCAAATGTTTCAAATCATTAAGGTGGTATTACAATCTCCACATTTATTAAAAAACTATTATAAATCTATAATTAACACATAACATTTGATTCCCCCCCCTGTATATTTATTGTTCCATTTTGGTGCTGAAAATCTCTGACATAAAGATAGACCACATTGCCATTCAAATATTTTCTCCACATAAACTATCTATTATTAGTTTGTTTTACGTTTGCCTTATAATGACCCTCTATTTAGTTACATCCACTGCTACAATGTTACAGAAGCCTATTGTGATTACAGCAGGTTTCATGAAGTTAAAGTAAGGTATTGAACTGTGACTTTTGTTGCAAAGCCTTTGTAGAGTGTAGATAACCTTAAGAGAAATGGGCGGGCCTATACTCTTTAACCAATGAATGCCCTTCTTCGTTTTAAATAGTTCTCTGTGTCAATCATTTTTTACCACAGTCAGCCTCCCCTCAATCGCCATATTGGGTACTGAAAAGGTTTGTCTGTTGTTTCTTCTCTCTTACTACGAGACGAAATTGACAGGAGTGGCTTCAGTTACTGCACTTTGTTTTGATGGTCTGTCGAGACTACTTTTGCTCGCATTGCCACATTGGAAGTTAGCTTTTCTATACAGACCTATGCATGCGTTTGTGTTGATAAGCCGTTTTACTCTTGTTTTGGATCGCGGTGAGCAAGGAGGAAATACGCATTTTTAAGTGTTCTATTTGGACGTTCTTTGATTCTCGGAAAATGTCAAATGTTCGTGTTTCAAATGGGAGCCCTACGTTTGAAAGGACCGATGCTCGGTTTTCGGATCACCCCAAACCGTCAGCCTGCAGAAACCTTTTCGGCCGGGTTGATCACGAAGAGTTAAAGAGGGATTTAAAGGGACATTTGCTAGAGATGGAAGAGGCGTCTTCAGCGAAATGGAACTTCGATTTTTCAAGTCACACACCGTTATTGAACGGGAGATTCGAATGGGAATTAGTGGATAGTAAAGACATTCCACATTTCTACAGCAAAACTCAACGATCGGTTAAGGGCCTTTGCCCCTCTGGGAATAACAATGTGGATCTTAATGGGAATAGTTGTGTGGTGGTGACTCCTCGGCAGCCCTCTGAAAACACAGAAAGGTCGGAGAGCAAAGAGCAGTGCACCGGGCAGAGAAAAAGACCAGCCAGCCATGGTACGCGTTTATGAATGATGATAAATTCTAATCATGATATCAGTCTGTCTGCTTTGTCTTTCTGCCTTCTGGCAATTTTTCCGGTGCTGGCCCATTCACTGATGTAATTTGTATCAGCCAGGCTCGACGTTGTAACCTTGTAGTATACTGTTTGTTTGCTACATAGTCGAAAGTTACCAGTTAGATGACCCACTTTATCAGTTATTCTAAATAAAAGCGTTACAGCAATTATTCTCATCGTTTTCAGTAGGCTTTACTGGTAGCATATGACTGCCTACTTGTCAGGTTGTGAAGGCATAGGATCTGATAAGCAAATCACTAAAGATGGAAAAAATGTAACGCTATTCGCGATACTTAATTTTCGAGAATATCATTTTGACCTATATAACGTTATATTTAACTTTTTGATTTCTCTTCCAGACCCCTCGTCCCAAAATAAAAGGTCACACAGCAGTTCGGATGAAGTTACTCGTTGCCCAGCCTTGGCGCATTCTGTAGAACATACACCCAGGAAAACCAGTCCCAGGACTCAAACGTGAAGATGACAAAGGTGAGCAACTTATCTGATACAAATGGACAGAAGGACTATGGTCTCTTGGAGCTTGGAATATGCTGGAGTTTCTCTATTTCTAGCTCAGGCAACTAGTTTAATAGTTCGTTGGATATTGTCAGGCTTTAGTGAGACGGAGTATACTGTTCTGGAATTATTTTCTCAACTCACCCAATATATTGGCAAAAAAATGTCAGATTTTCCTGCATAATGCAGCTGTTAAAGTTGGGTTTTGTGACGAGACAAATCACTTGACGTGTTCCTGTACGCATTTCAGACGTGCTGTCTAAATAATGTGAAGCAGTTGTGAATATCCCACATATGCGCAATTGCCAAGTGGCCATTCGCTTTAATGAAGCTCGAAATGTATGATTAACTATATCGGTGTGACGTTCAGTACGGTTTAGTAAAAGGTTAAAGTTCAAGAGGCTACACATTGGCAACATTTACTACTGCCACGGTGAGGTTGAGGTTCCGACGAAACTGTAAACAAGTCTCAGAACAACACTATAGTAACACGTCAGCAACCACTGCCCTCACTAGAGGGAGAAGAGGCTGGTCTCCTCAGTAGTGCCCTATGCAGGCTAGTCCCCTCTCAACATCTGTCCATTCTAGTGAATGAAAGCACAGTAGCCTATCCACGTTTTTTTTAATAGGCCTAACGTTTTATTGAAACTTGCAATAAAGTATGTGTATTAGAGATGGAGATAACCAATTATAATTTGGAAAATGAAAGTATTATGGTGACATCTTGGTGCTTTGAATGAGTCAGCAGGGTTTCTTTTTGACTAAAGTATTTTACTATCTTTAGCCTATTCTTAGAAATGTTTTGTCATGTCAAAACTACTACCACATCTGTTTTTTATGCATTTGTATGTAATCATGTTCACAGTTGTAAATTAGAACTGATCTCACAACTTTGTTTTTCATTTCTCTCTACAGAGCTGAAGATGTATTTCCCCTTTTGTCATCGAAAGCCTCAGTGTTGGTTGATTTTGAAGAGGAACTACAAAGAAAATGAAACATATCAATTCTCCCAGAGGATGGAGATGCTGTGCAAGCACTGAATATAAACACTAAAGTTTTGGCACTCATAAAATTACTGCCTCTAAAAGCGGTCAATGTAGCAGTGTGCAATTAGGTTTTATTTCCTTTTTTGCTCATTTTTTTTTTTTTTTACTACCTGTGTATATATTTCTTTTCATATGTAGCACATAAAACGAATTATGATTTGGAAAAACATCCGTTAGGTAAAAGGTGTGAATTTGACTTGAAGAATTGCAGTGTAGTTTTGTTTTCAAAATGCTGTGTATCTTAAGGCAGTGAGTGTAACCTGTTTAAGTATAATAAATCCTGCTCCATTTAAATGATTATGGATTAAATAATTGTTCCTCATCAATATAGATCTTCATAGGTCATCCCTGTATGTAAGGAGAGAAGGACGGTACTTAATTTGTAGCCTTGTATTTCTTTTTTTTTCAGGTCATTTAAGTGTCACTCAACCTGGGTTCTCAGCCACCCCACAAACAATTTCTGTTATGACCAAAACATTGATGTGAAGTCAGCCAAGATTTTTTGTATTTTGTTGAGAGATAAAAATCTGTAGGCCTATATCTGTAACTTAGGCAAAATTCTGGAATATCAATTTCTTTAACAAGTGTTCCTCATCGTTTTTGAAAGTCTAGCCAATTGTGTTTTTCTGAAGTTGTGTGAGGTTATCATTTGCTGAAGGATAGTCTGTTAACTGTACTGGTAGTATGAATCAACTTCATCCTCTCCCTGACATGCTCAAATATGTCTTTATTAATTTAACGGTTATTTTACTTTTAATGAGGTGTTTCCATATGGCTGGAATAATGCCCTACAATACCAAATACATGGTTGCTTAAATATGGCTGTGTCGACGCTTTCACTTACCATCAGGTTGCCTTGACATAGTACTCCTGTGTGATTTAAGAAAGATAATATAATTTGTTCATATCCCCCTTCTTCTCCCTGACATTGTTAGTGCTGATCATGCAAATGTAGCTTCGAAAATAACTTTTATTTCACCCAGTTACAATTGACCTTTGTTCAGAGTCTAAGAATTGTCACACAAAAAAAAAGCAGTCACTCTACCTGTGTATTTCGTGTAAATCTTTGAAGTGTACATAACTGTGTAAAAACACTGAGAAATTATACTAACTTATTTATGTCAGGCTTTTTTTTAATGTAGAATAAAATGTGTTTTTGATTACGGTTATCCAAAGTGGCATTTACATTATACAAATTATTTTTTTGTAAAAGCATATTTTTGCTAGTTTTTATTTTATCAAATAAGGTTGCAACCTGAGCCTGATAAAAAATATTTGATGTGCATTTTGTATTGTGTGGTTATAAGATATGTTGCAATCAATTAAAGCTGAGAAATTACATCTATTTATCTGATTTGTTGGTCATGTTCGCACTGTTGATAGGAATGCTCTCCAGCCTACACACTAATCTCTCTTTCTCTCAGCCAGTAGTATAAATATGTTATATTTAGATTACACTCATATCATCCATATTCCTTTGCTTCATAACTTGTTTCATTATACAGGTTGCATAGAGAACCTGCGCTCTGTCTATATAGCCTACTCGTGAATCACAAGTAAAAAAGCCTGTCAGGGCTCTGCTTTTAGGCAACAAAACCTACCTTAAATTCAGTTTAATAGATTGCTGTGATTGTTATACCTCAGTTCTCTCCATATCCACTGCTTTTAGTATGATATTTTAGATCATTTACAATCCTGGAATGAAGTCAAAGGCATGCAAAGATTTAACTCGATAAAAACGTATTTTTGTGGTGGTGGTGGTTTTCATAGCATTTATGATTAGATACAGTATTTTAGTAAATTAAATGATCGTTTTATCAATTGGTGTATTCTCTTCGGCTCGAGGACAAACTGGAACCAAACCGTGCGTATTGGATACCATTTGGCACATTACGCATGTATGTTTGAAGCTTGAAGTAGCACGTAATAGGATCCGGTAAATACAAACGACGTTGTTGCTACTACTACAGTTACAAAATCAGGCTATTTCAATATATTTTAGCTTGTGTTAAAAATCGACTGTGCCGCCGTCTGCGCAGTGACACTCCCAATATGATGAAATCGTGAAGTATTTCAAAAAATGCCTGGTGATTGACGTTTGGGTCCTCCAATCCGGTTATGTCTAAGGTAAGCACACCACTGTTGCATCCAATTACATTTGTCTAATGGCATGTTTGAAACGTAGTAGTTTTTCTGCAAGGTTTCCCCACCAAAAAAGACACGTAAAACGGTTAACTTTAATGCTATCCACACAGGTCCACAATTGAAATACTTAAGTTAGGCTTAGAACATGCATTTTTTAATATATTTAATCTCAGATAGTGCATAATTATTACATTTTACATTGACATTTTAGTCATTTAGCAGACGCTCTTATCCAGAGCGATTTACAGTTAGTGAGTGCATACATTTTCATTGGTTATATTATAGCCTATAGTTTTATAGATTAAAACTATACAAACAATATGTTGATGTAGATTGTTCATTTGCCTTATTTTGTAGCCAATTAGGTAATTTGTTTAAACAAAAAATATGAGTATCCTGTGTTTCATCATGAAGACATGTTTTGTCCAAGATGTTTTACTGGGCTACTTGAAATACAATTTCAGCCTTATTTGGAGAGTTGTTTGCAACAATTTATAGGCCTACTATATTTTACAACTATAAAATGTAGCCTATATTTTCAACCAATATATTCGCCTACACAAATAGCATCATTTTTGAAAATAAATCTGGTTCCCAAATCCTTTTAATATTTTCTATTTTTTAAATAATCTATTTTGGTAATCATCAATGACATTGTAAAGATTTGCAACAAAGCAAAGCAATAAAAACATGTTCACAGTGATATTTGAAAGTCTATTGCATAATTTGTCATGCATTTGTCGAGATGCACACCTGTGCCATTTATCACCAAATTCCATCTGATCAGTTCCATGGCAATTTAAGACCTTGACCTTCTGGAGTGGTCAATTCAATCCATTAGTCTGATTCACACCCACACACGTGCACCAACCATCCACTACAATTCTAAAAAGGTTTATTTTTAAAGAGGAAATTGAGTGTTGAGTTGGTAAGGGCTCCTTCCTCTCCTCACCCTACTACAGCCTGAAAGCACCAGAAAGCAGGATGCAACAGGAAGACACCTGCAGCAGCAGCTCTTAGAGGGCCCCTGATTCATTCTGAAGTGTGCAGGTGGGTAACCTTAGCTCTGCTGTTCACCCCCACTCAGAGCTGGGTCCATTGTCCATGTGTGTGTGGCTTTGTGCGGAGGGCCATTGTGAGGGGTGGGCGCTCGGCACTGTTGTGTCTGAGGCTCCCAGTCAGACAAAAGGGCCCGTCTAGGAGCCTCCGCAGTGCTCCGCCCTGCCGGCCGAAACACTGGAGAGGAGGAGGAGGAGGAAGTGCTGTCTGCAGTCTGAGAATACCACACTGAGAGTATCGCTGCGGGACGGGGGGATGGTTTGTGTCATTAAGTCACATTGGCATGGATAAAGGTCAAGGTCAATGTTGGGTTATTAGTGCCAAACATTGAGTACACTAATTTGTTGGTTCATTTAAAACAGGAGCCCCTCTGTTTTTATAATGCTCACCAGGAATTCTGTCATGCAATGCTGTTTTTTTTCTTTCTGTACAATTAAATAATTAATCTATAACTAAATGGTAAGTTTGACCATGCAGGCAATCCTGGTTATTCTCCAGAGGCCCAACCAACAGCTGGACTGGAAATGTTCAACATGAAAGTAGCCTACACTGTTATTACATTGTTATTATCCAGGGGCACAACTTTCACTGGGGACAGGGTGGGACCCCCCACATTCTGAAAATGCATTTTTGTCCCCCGCAGTTTTATCATTGGAATGTGAAACAAAACGTGTGCTTTAGGACCATGCGGACGCCTCTGAGCAGTCGGTTA